ATTTCCGACCCAATACCCCACAATGGGCGCAGGTGCATTGTTGAGAATTTATCCGGGGTTGTCTAAAGGCGTAGGAAACCTCCGCTTTCTTCTCTCGTCCAACTTAGACTGTAGGCTGGGTTCTAGAAGCACAGGTTTTAGAAGCTATTTTGGCCGTTCTTTTCAAGCAAAGACCCAGGAGCTACTCTCATTTGCTCTTCGAGCGTCAATCACTCCATCATTTGCGGGAGCTCCACTGACCAGTTGTTGAAGAGCTGAGTGGCTGCCCATTCTGCGACTACCTGGAGTGACACTTCTGGTAAATGTATGCTGGTGCAAGCTCGATTCTCGAAAAACTTGCTTTTGAGCTCATCTCGGCATAAAAGGATGACTCAGGCCTTGTATGGAATCTTGAGCTGCAGATATTCCTCTAGGTAGACATATTCCTTTGCATGCACAGAACCAACATCGAAACTGCTCCTTCCTCCAACAGACCTGATGCAAGAACTTTTGCTTTGATTTCCATCGGAGATAAAAGGCGAAGCACATATTCAACCAGCTGATAAACTCGTAAAATTATTGCTTATCCTGAAGGCCGTCATACTTTTATGAAAACCTCAACATCATCGGCTCATCATGAGCATTTCGTCAGCTGAAGGCTCATGCTCAATAGGAAGTTGAGGATCGTCTTTAATTTAAGGCTAAGACGGTCTCCCTTGATAAAACCCTTAGCGGAGCGCCGCGTTGAATGCAGAGGTGCAGTTCTTTGAGAATACAGTCACCCTTCAACGCGCACCCTCAGGCATGAATATGAAGACACTTTGCTCCCACATCATTGCAATCTCAATAGAATGTACGTGGGTTTTTCTGAGTTTTTCCTTTTGTTCGCTCTGGTTCGTCAAGGATCCGACGTAAGGGAAAAGGTCGGCAAGGATTTACATGGGTGTTGAACCTTTAAAACACTCCAAACACTCGGATGTAGTTGCACATGGGATTAAGCGCACATGGACATAATATTGCGTCTCCTAGTATTGAGCGAACAGCATTGTGCTTTATTTTAGAGATGAACGGACAGAATATATAGTCAGTCTTTACTATTTCTTAATCAGAAACACTCCTGTAGAAGCAAGTGCCATATGTGTACCTTGGCCTCCTACAGGACTGGTATTTCCTTGCATTCTTTATTCTAACAGCCTGAGAAAGTCTCTCACTAGCAGGCGTATCGAACTGAAGTAAATTTTCATTGGTTTCAGCGTGACTGTACCACCCTATGACTTTTGGGGAAGAATACCCTTCTCCCGCAGAAGCGCTACATGGGCTATTTATCTGAAGATGCCATCTCGCTCGTTCCCTCTCTCTCTCTCTCGCTTTCTCTCGCCATCGTTTGCAGGCCCTGCAGCCATGAAGTACCGCAATTTCAGAGCACAGCGCTATTGAGCCGAAGTCAGGAGTTCGGCAGCTAGCCTGTCCACTTGCTGGCTCATGCTACACTCCTAGGCTTGCAATTCCATCAGCACGAGGTGTAGACTTAAAAGCGCAGGCGATGCGGAAGCGCAAAAATATGGCACCTCGCATTACAGTTCCACTTGAAAGAAGGTCTAGCATGCAATACTTTAAGCGGTTTTCTTGTATCGATACCGGCTTCTCTCTAGGGGCCCCCCAAAGACAACCCGCGGGTCAGTGGGGGCCCTACCATGTTTTTTATGCCGGCGATTTCCATGTGTTCTTCTTTGCTCTCTTCAGTTTTTATTTTTCCATTCATCTCAAAATTACCCAACGTCAGGCTCTTTGTGTTGTTTTCGGTCTTGGCGGATGGGGCGGTTTTGCTCCTTCCTGCGTTATGTGTTCATCTTGGAGAGGGGGCAACCAAATGTAAGATGACGACCCTAATTTTCATATCTACGCGGCAACTCATACACCTTTAGCAGACACAGTGCATGCCACACTTTCCCAGTAGCTGTAAGGGTGTTCTCAAGAGGTTGCCGCCTACAGGCGAAACGGCGCAAAACGCAGAAGGCAAGGGCTGCAGAAGCTTAAGGGGCTCCTCATGGTGTTCCCCTAGTTAATGAGTTCGGCATCTTCATGAGGCTGTACTGTTATTCTAGCAGACATTTCATTTGCAACACAAGCAGGAGGCCCCTGGGCCCCCATCGCGCCTCGTAGATAGAGAGTAGTCATCTTGAACGCCTCTCCGTTATCTCCTCTTTGGAAAAACCTCCACGAGGCTGCCTCTCAGTCTGGTCGTCTCCTATTTGGGTGGCCGTAAAGGAGCTGCGCATTCAGCGTGTGCCTTTGAGGCTTGCGTTATGCAGAAGCCTTTTGTTCGAGCGATGTGCGCGTAATGCAGTACCTTCAGCTGGATAGCGTAATATTTGGTTTGTGTTGTTTTGCGTGGGCTGGCTTTGGTTTCTCAGGTACTTCAGCTCTCTTTGATGGCCTCCTCCACTGTTTACTTCTTCTACTTGTGGGGAAGCACAGGTGTTCATCCTTTCCGCATGGCTCTACACCCGCAGAAGTATCTAATAAAGGAGAAGGAAGAAGAGGATACGCTCGAACGCAGGCTTCGCCGGGAGCTGGGGGAAACAACGTAGGCGGCTGCTACCATTGCTTCTGCCGTTATACTGGTTCTCAGACCTCCCATTGCACACGGTCTGCGCTTTGCTTTTTGTATATATATACATATATCTGTGTGTATGTGTATGTGTATGTGTGTGACGCAGTTTGAAGGAATGGCGTCGCCTGGGATTCATCACAGACGAGGATTTGGGTGTCCATGATCAGGGTGGCGCAAAGGGGGCCCCTGAACAGCGGTAAAGAAAGAAGCATTAAAGTCTTTTTATATGGGTTTTTTTGAGCGCTTGAAGCTCTAGCGCGTTGCTCAGGACCGAGCGCTTCCCATGCGTAGCTTACCATCCGTATAGATGTGTAGGTCCATTTACAGCTCCCTCAAAGGGAGCGGTGGTAACAGTCGTCGAAGCATTAGTATGCATGGACCCTCTGTAGGCACCAAGCCCCCCCCTCGTTCGGCTCAAGGCTTTGAAACTTGGGTAGGTAATGCGGTGTACACCTTGAGTACTAGGAACTTCAACGAATGGATCATTAGGTTCGGCATTTCAACGCTTGGAGCATTCCTCTACGGAATGCCACCCACGAACGACCCCCTCCCTAAAAGCCTCCCTCAACACCCCCTTGTTAGTATCTTGGTAGGGCGAAGCCCTTTAGCTCCGGACTCACTAACTATAGACTCCATAGAGACTTATGAAGCGTTCTCAGAAGAACGTTATTTATACGAAGGGACAAGGAGAGGGGGGCAGAGAGCTACGGTGCAGGGGCCTTGCTGCACCCTCTCAGCAGTCCGAGTGTTCGCAGCTTGTCGATGCACAGGGTATCCACTCCAAGCATACACGGCGTCGCGTCTTGTTGTACCGAGCTAACGCGTATTATTGTCTGCAACACCATGCATGACCTTAAAACAGTATCGAGCAGTCAGATCCATAGTTTTCCACGTGTTCTTAGCTGCACGCGTGGGAAACGCGTAGCAGGAAGTGGCCTAATATAGGCAGCTCATCCCGCTGCCCCTCGCGTATCTTCTAAAGGCTCCGGAGACCCCACATTCGCAGCCTATCTACGCCTGACCCGCTGGCATTCCTATAATAATACAGCGGCTCGCAGAGGACTCTTTTTTTGCGAGGCGGCGGGAGGAAAGGGGAAAAGGAGGGAGGCACTGGCCAGCGATGTAATCCATACAGCAACTTCCCGGTGATACATACACAGCTGGTGACCGGCGCGTAAAAATGCGTTTCTTTATTGCCAACTAGAGGGCCCCCGGATTTCGATGGCGAAGCAGGCCTTTGATTGTGACAGGAAGACAGTCAATTCCGAGGATTCAGTTCGGAGAAGCTCCGTATTGACAGCAACACCTGAGAGCTATGTGCCGGCGGAACCCCTAGCTCTGTGAAGCCACCTAAATCCGACGCAAGGGGAACCCTCCTAAAGGCTTTGCTTTGCTACTCCAACAGACAAGCGCATGCCTCTTGGATACCAAAGGAGAGAGAAAAGTGCCCCTGGCGAGGAAGAGAGGGAAGGGCGTCCGAAGGCGTATTGAACCCGCACAGCGAAGCCTGAGCGCTGTCTTGTACCCTTTGTTTTGTGCAGTGAGTAGGTGCCTCCCAAAAGACGCCGCACAACAAAATCTGGCTTTGTGCATGTATATGCATGCTCCGTCGCATATTACCTCTACTCACTCTCGGGGAAAGATAACTTTTCCTTGTGCTCGACTGAAAACTCTCTAAACACGAAATCTCCAAGGCCTCTTTTTGTGTCTGAAAGGCGAGACCGCCGAATCATAGGACTGTAGAAACGGTGCTTCCTAGCTTACGTGTCTCTCTACCGCACAAAGGAACACCATCACACTGTGTCAGGAGACAGCCCGCAACATGTCTCTCTACCAAGATGTCCATCTTGTCCCCTCAAGCCGCCTCCCACCACCACACCCGTAAAAAGATCTAGTCTCCCCGTTTTGAAGCTTGCAGGGTTGCATCAAGCTGCGGGCAGACCACCAGCCGCTGTTGGCAATCGCCTGAAGACGCAGCACAACAACAAGCTCAGCAAAGCACTATCGGGGAGAGCAAAAATGCATCTTAAATGACTAGGAAGGCACCGTGCACATGACCCGCAGTTGATCCACACACTAAACCACTAAATGGAGGGAGAGGGAGAGTGGAAGAGAGCCGGAGAGAGTGAGAGACTATGGGGGAGGGACGAAGGAGGGCTGAAGGGGTGAAGCCGAGGCTGCGACTGCGTCCTTGTGTCTGTCTCTCCCTTTGTTCGTTGCCCTCTTTCAACCAACCCACAGTATATCACACCCACGTGCAAAAAGCCTCTACCCATTCACACAAATGCCTGGGAACCGCTCCCCCCCCACCCCCACCCCCCGTAACGCAGCACCAACAATGCATGTGCAAGACATCACCTTGCGCCTTTAATGAGAAGCCACGAGAGACAAAGCCTCCCATGAACATTCAGTGCCCAGCCAAGACCCCCTTTGAATGCATCGCTATATACCAAAGGCTACCAGCTGCAGTTCGAGCACTAAAGCAGCACGAAGGTATACACATGTACATCTGTATGTAGGTGTACTTTCATATGTACATACATACACATCCACCCTGGGCATACGTCTACATCCACACACCTAGAATACACAGATATACATACACATATACCTATAGATGTGCATATTAAGGCATGTAGGCACACATACACAGGAGCAGCGTGCTCTTCGTAGAAACGATCCGCATCCAACCCCGCAACGTCAGTAGAACCCTCTCCCGAAACAGCACTTTGCCGGCACTTGGATAAACCACCATCCACACGTGAAACATCTGGAGTCAGTCCACCGCGTCCTCTTCCTACCCCGCGTTTCCATCCCTCCCTTAATCGCATTTTAAGGCGAAGTTCAAAGATGCATGGACTCTTGAGAGGAACCATACAATAAAGAGAAACTGCATGAGCAACTGCCAGACAACTCCCTCCCCACCCTCGCCCCCCTACCCCTTTCCCCCTATCCCGCCTTTCCATTTTCCCGCCTACAAAAGCGGCTTTCTCCTCGAAAGAAGAACACCGTTTTTTGTCTGTCCTCTCGCTACCTACCCAGAAGGACAAACTCAGCGCCGGGTTGTATAAGCACTCCACACTGCTGCACTGATCGCGTCTCACACCCCAAAGCAATCGCGAATTCCATATAGCCACGCTGTCTTTGCGCTTCCTGCGCTGCAGCGGGTGCTGAGGAAGGGACAGAAGCCACGGAGGAGGCAGCAGGAGACGAATTTGATGTTCGCAGCCTTAGCGTCACCTTCCCACTCTGGCGTACAATCAACTTTCCCAAACGGCCTGGTGGCAATTCATCCAAGCTAGTTAGCGGCTCACTCCTGCTGCTGCTGCTACTGCTGCTGCTGCTACTGCTGCTGCTGCTGTTGCTGTTGCTGCTGCTCGCGTTCTTGCGCATGCCGCCTGGGCGCCGCTGCTGCTGCTGCTGCTGCTGTGACTGCTGAGACTGCGACTCGCGATTCACCATAGCTACTCTGTCCACGGGGGGAAGATGCCGCGGCAATTGCAGCATCAGGAAGGGACCGCCGCTCAAACCAGCGTCTGATCCACAAGCAGCAGCTACACCCTGTGCCGCTGCTGCACGAAGCACTTCAGCCACCGTTGTGGGGGAACTCTGCTCCTGCTGACAAAAAAATCAGACAAACACACCCCACACACAGGTACACATACAGACACATACAGACAGACAGGAACAGACATACAGACATAAAGACAGACACACAGACAGACACACAGACAGACAGACATAAAGACAGACAGACATACATACACACACACAGGCAGACACATAGACACAGAGTTACACAGACCAACACACAGACAGACATGCATACATAAACAGGCCCAATAGGCACTTTATGGCGCAGTTTCCGAGATGCCTGGGTTGTTTTCGCTGCAGGTGCTACTTGTGAGGAGATGCATGCGGAAATGGAGCGGGCGTTGTCTCTGTGCGTTGGACCCCCCTCGCAGCGGTGACAGCAATCGACGAGGCTAGAAACTTTCACAGCAGCAAGAGCAGAAAAAGGCACATGGAGGAGTGGTAGTAGCATGAACCTGGCGAGGTGAGACAGGGGGCACTGAGGAGGTTGGGAGAATTGGCAGACCTTATGGAAGGGAAGCGAGAGAGGGCTGTAGATGAAGCTGTCTTCTTGAGTAGCACTGAGAGACGCCAGCGTGACACCTCGTTTCTGCTGCTGCTGCTGTTGATGGTGGCTGTGGTTGTGCTGCTGCTGCTGGAAAGTTGCGGCTCCTTCTTCGCTCTGCTGCAGAAGTTTGCTCCTTTTCTCTTCATCCGTCAGTAGTTGCTGCTTCGACTTTATTCCCTGCAGCCTCTGTGGCGACTGCTGCTGCTGCTGCTCCCCCTTGCGGCGCAGGTGCTCTTCAGTCTTGAGCCGGAGAAGATCTGCAGGTCGGCTCGTCTGTTGCGACTGCTTCAGCTGCTGCTGAAGCGGCGCTGCATTCAGCAGCATTCCAGCAAGAGAGAGTTCTCTTGCCTCGGAAGAGCTTGTAGCAGGTGCAGTGACGGGCAGTGTTTGGAGGGCACGTGTTGTAGAAGCGGCTGAAACATTGGGTGTGAAGCGGAAGCGCTGTTGTTGCGGTTGTTGTTGCTGCTGCTGCTGCTGTTGCTGTTGCTGTTGCTGCTGCTGCATCTGCTGCGAGGACGTTCTCGGAAAACGGGGGAGTGTTGCATGAGGTGGTCGCACAGTCTGCTGCTGTTGCTGCTGGTGCATCTGCAGTAGCAGCAGCCTGCTTGGCGTGCGGGTAAGAAGCGCAGGAGGCACTTGTGTGGCGTTGAAGCCATTGGAAGCTTGCTGATGCTGTAGAGAAGGCTGTTCGGGTTCGCTTTGCGCGTCGAGGAGCTGCTGCTGCTGCTCTTCTTGCGGCTGCGGCTGCTGCTGCTCTTCTTGCGGCTGCGGCTGCTGCTGCTCTTGTTGGACGTCTTCTTCTTCATCAGAAGAGTGAGCAAGCCTTCGCAGACGTCTGCAGCGCGGCTGTCTGTGCCTTCCTGTTGCTTCAGATGCTCGCGTGGACGGCGGCATGGCGTGGGGTGCAGCTGGCAACAGCCGTTCTTGGGGAGACTGGGAGTCATCAGCAGGGGTCTGTGAGACGTTTGCAGCCAGCTGCAGCTGAGATTGCGAAGTCGAGAGGTCTGCCACGCTGCTCGGAGGGGAATCAAGGGAGCATGGGAAGCTTTCCCTCTCTCCGAAGATGGCCCCTTCCGAGTTTAGCGCTTGCTGCGGCTCGCAACTGCCCCCATCTGCCCCAAGGCGACGATCTCTCGAACCTGCTCCCTTCCTCTCCTTCTCCTTTGCCATTTCGTCTTGAAATGCAGAAACGCGCGTGGCTACGTCTCGAAGGGCGAAGGAGGCCCCTCCTCGCTCGCGGAGGGATGACAGCCGCACGTCGATGGCAGCTTTCTGGCTTCCCCCGCTGGCCCTTCAAGCCGAAGATTGCCGTTTTCTAGGTGTCGAAAGCCTCCATATATATATTTATATGCGAGAAGGCGCTTAGAAAAAAGAATGCGCGATCAACGAAGCTGCGACGTTTCTGTTTTTGCTGTGCAAGAGGGAGGGAGGGGGGAAGCGAGAGGGGGGCCCCCCGAGCGCAAGGGGCCCCCCGAGCGCAGGGGGCCCCCCTCCCTCCCCCCTTCCCCGCCCAGTAGAGGATCCTCCCCGCGAACAACGAACGGGGGCCCCCGTTCGTTGTTCTTGCTATAAATAGCACCCCTTTTATCTGCGCTACCGCCTCCCTTCCTCTCTTTCCTCTCCAAACAATAAAGGATCCTTTTCCTCTGCATGTTCTCCTCCTTTTTAAAGGCCATCGGCTTCGCCAGGATCGCCCCTCGCTCTCCTCTTTAGACTCAAGCTGCGCATGCGCACTTTTACCCATCCAGGGATCTCCATACAGTACACACAAAGACACACAGATAAACACACACACACGCATGTACATACGTACACATATACATACACATGCATACACATACATGCATCCATACAGACATACATGAACATATACACACATATGTATATACATATATACATGTACATATATACATATACATACATATACACATAATTTCCAGCAGGAGCGCGGCGACGCTTCTTTGGTTTCTATAAAGTTCGGTATTCCGAATTGCCTGCCTGCCGAATTGCCTGCCTCTCCCCTCCGCAGGTTACTGGCTGCATACATATATATATATAGTGTACTGCTCTGCATGCATCCTTGTAGGCCAGCAGAGGGTGCCGCCACCAGCGGCACGCGTAAAAGCCACCCCTGAGGGGGCCCTTGGGAGGGGGCCCCCTTCCTCCCCTTCCCCCTCCCTATTCCTCGCCCGTGGCGTCTTCGCGAGCTTTTCACGTCCATGGATACGCGCTCAGCAGAAGCAGTCTCTTTCTCGCTGCAGCCGCAAGTGCTGCTGCTGCTGCCGCTGCTGGGGGGACTGCTGCTAGGCTTAGTGGCGAGCGCTCCTCCTGCCTTGGCCTTTACTGCGCCTCAACAACGCAGCGAAGGCTTCGTGGCATCCGCCAGCCTGCGCCTTACCTTTCAACGCGTTCCTCTGCCCTTTAACACAGCAGCCTACAGGGACGCCTCTCTTGCGAGGAGGCTGTACAGTGGCGTCGGAAACAGCGAAACATCCGTCGACAGCAGCACTAGCAGCAGTACTAGCAGCAGCACTAGCAGCAGCACTAGCAGCAGCACTAGCAGCAGCACTATCAGCAGCACTAGCAGCAGCACTAGCAGCAGTACTAGCGGCAGCATGAGTAGTAGCAGCCACAGAGACAGAGGCGTTCTGGCGTCCAGACGGAGCGGGAAGCGCGTGCAGCTGCATCCGCACGTCTCCCATCGCTACATACACTCCAGGAGGGAGGAGCACTTGAAGAAACACTTTCGCAGAGTGTCGGCGAGCTCTCCTGAGGGGGCTGAGACGCTCGCTGCAATAGCTGCAAGAAAAGCAGCACCGGCAGCTACCCTTGCCGAGCGAGCAGCCACAGAATCTGAAAATGCTGCTGCGTTCGCATGGCCAAGGGGTTGCTTCCTCAGGATTCGTCTGACTGCTCCGCGAGCTGACGACTTAGCAGAGACCCTTAGACGCCTAGAGGCAGCTCTGCAGCAGCTGAACGCCCTTGTAGCGAGGCAGCAACAACAGGAGCAACAGCAGCAGGAACGACAGGAGCAGGAGCAACAGCAGCAGGAAGGACAGGAGGAGGAGAAAGCGCCGGCGTTTTTGCTGTCAGTTGCCTGTCTCCCGACGCAGCGCAGAGTGCTCACGCTGTTGCGGTCCCCCTTCAAACACAAAGACAGCAGAGAGCAGTATGAATTGCTGCAGCGGAAACTTTTGGTGGACGTCCACCTTAGTGCAGAGTTGCTGCGTTACCTCAAGAAGAAGCAGCAGCAGAGCGCTGGCAGTCGCAGGGACGGGGGTGCTGGTGAAAAAAGCACTGTTGGAGATTGCCCGATGGAGTCTCTTAAGCGGCTGCGCTCACACATGCGACTCTTCCGCCGACATTTCGGATTTCTCTTGCAGCGGCAGGAGGGACTGCAGCAGCACGAGGAGGAAAAAAAAGAGGAATGGCAGCAGCCTGAGCACGCGTTGTTGAATCGTGAGAAGGCTCTTGAGGACGCGGTGTATAGGGAGCTGCAACAAATGCCTTTGCAGGATGTGCAGCTGGCTAGTGCTCCTTTCCTGCACTTGCCTACCTTTTTGAGTGTCAGCATGCCCGAGAGAGTCGGCGCTTCCGCCTACTTCGACATGTATGTACACCCGGAAAAGCTGAGGCGTATCTGGCACCGCCTAGGGATGCGCACCCAGTGGATATCTAAATACCGACTGTATCAACGGGTACGACTGAGGACGCCTAGCGAAAGCTGCCAACTAGCCGCAGTCAGCTCTTCCTCCTCGAGCAAGCAGGCCACATACACATACACACGTGCACATACACATACACACACAGACACACATACACATACAGACACACATACACATACACACAAAGAAACATCCAGGTCGCCTGGAGGATCTGTTTCGCAGTGTTGCCGCCGACAAGAGGCATGTTGTGCAAGCTTGCATCTCACTGCCAAAAGGCCCTTCAGACACATGCAGCGACGGCTACCACTAGCCAGATAACGGTGGACCCCATGAACGTCAGAAAGAGCACCCTCCCTGGCTAGCGATTCCTCTAGCGTGCTTATTTTTTGTGGGAACCTTTTTGATCTCAGGAGATGGAGAAGAAGGAAAAGCTGATAGACGAGCTGCTACATCCCAAGTTTCGCTTCGACCGTTTACTCCGGTGGCCGTCGGACTTTGATTCTTTGCGGATGAAGCAGATCCCCGAGCTCGAGAAGATGCTTCGAATGTGCGGGCAGCTTTAGACAAGAGCGCAAAACAGCGGGCAGTACAGAATAGGGTGAAAAAGCAGGAAACGCCTGGCGGGAGAGTTCAGACGAGAGGAAACGGCAGGAGTGGCTCGGTCGCCTCCGGATGTGCGATGATTTGTGTGTGTGTGTGTGTGTTTGCATGTGTATGTGTGTATGTCTATATGTGTATGTGTGTATGTCTATATGTGTATGTGTATGTGTGTGGTTTACGCTTCACAGCGCAAAGATGTACAGACAGCAGCGCCTGGCCCGCGCGCGAAGAGGAGAGGCTCCCTTTGAGCCCAAAGTGCGCCTTTTTGGAGACTTTCAGCTTCCAGATGATTTGCCAGATCCGAAGGACGAAGAAACATCCGCCTCTTAACTCTCTGCGTACCAAGGCAGGAGGGGTTGGGGAGAAGGCCATGAGGCTATGCAGAGAGTCTCTGTAGAGAGTCTCTGCATAGCCATAGGCCACGCAAGTTTCCGGTGATTTTTTCCGCATGGCATGGCAATTCTGGGGAGGCGGAAGCAATAACGCCGTCAGTCGAGTAATCAAAAGAGCTTCATCGCTCTCGGCAGCGCTAGAGTGTAGGTGCAGCTCTGGCAAGTCAGAGAGAGACCTTGTACAAGAAAAGGCAGTACAAACGACTCGCGGGGAGTTCCTTCACTGCACAATTCGCTGCCTTCATTCCTCCTCCCTCCCCCCTCCCATACACCCCTAAGCACATGTTGGACCTAGAGGCTACTGTGTCTACTGGCTTGGCTAGGGATAGCCGCAAGGCGAAAGTTTACGGCCCGCAGTTCTTGATGTAGGCTGTTGGCCGTTGCCATGAGGCAGCTCCGTCTTAGCAGCTTGATTTAGTCCTCTGTCTGTACGCATAACCCAGAGGTAGACGGCTCAACACAAAAGACAGCAGATAGGTGGCTTATGGCTGCTCAAGGCCTCCCGCCTCCCCACGCCTGGGCTCGGTGGAGCGACACGCCCCCCTCTCCCTAATTGCGGGTCCTGCATCAGGCAGCAGAAATATCAAAAATACAAATGGGCTTTTTCGTGCTGCATTATGAGCTCGGCTTTCATGGTTTTCGCCGCTGCGCTATCAAGGATTGGCCCTTCATAGCGGGGGGCCCTTGCACAAGGTCACCTTGGCGGCTGTGCGTATTAAGCGACTGGAGGGAGTTCGCCACTCCGTGTGCGCTTACAAACGTTTACATGCAGTGCAGGTTGAAAAAAGCTCTGGTTTTCGCCATTATTTCAGTGCTTAAGCCCCCACACTCGTGCGAGCTGCAAAACGCTCGCACGCACTCACGACGGCAGCCTGGGGCCCTTGCAGCGCTGGAAGCGAAATTCGGAAACTTGGGAAAGCTGGCTTTCGCGAGTCATCTGTATTTGACGGTTGCGGCACATTCACTTCAATAGGTCTCTTGCTAGTGCTTGAAAGGGACAGCGGACCGTGGTGAGACATGAAGTATTTTGAATCCTGGGCTGGACTGGGGGGAGCAAGACACCACGCAAATGCGTCGTCCACAAGCCTTCATTTAGATTAAAATCATCATTTTCTGGGTCCTGCGGGTGGCATTATACCAAAGAGGCACCCGAAGGATGGTTTGTACATCTCCCTAATTGGACACCGTCTGGATTTAGCTCGCTTTCCCATTCCCCATTCTCTAAGCCCTATCGCCAGCTTCCCTCACCCAACAGCTGAGACCCCACGCGCAGCAGTCGAAATGCTGTCGGAAACTTCCTGTTCCCTGCTACCTCGTAGGATGTGCCAGCACCTGCAGGCCTGAAGCGCCTTTAAGCGAGGCATTTCAGAAGCCGGTAGAGCCCCGCATCCCGATAAGGTGTTTAGACACACGACTGCTAGGGTCACATATATGCGGAAGTGCAGGTTCTGAGCCAAAAAAACGGTTTCTCGCGGCTAGTTCAGGGTTTCTGAGGCAGGCTAGGACCCCCTTTGATCTGCTCTTCCAATTGTTTTCCGATTCCAGGGTCACTTCTTTGGTCACGTATCCAGACTCGTGTATTGTACCAAGCCACTTTTTACAAGAGGCCGTCCTCGTGTCGGCTCGTCACAGGCCGCCCACGACACTGAGGGCTCTCTCCTGTCCAGTACAAAGCGCTCCTCCGAGAGAGAAACTGTATACCGAGTTTAAAGGGGTCGTCCGTCCCTCTGCTGCCAAGGGCCCACCCCACCTTCGCCTCTTCTCAAAAGCGCTCAGGCAACACAAAACAGATTTACTGTACTGCCGAGAAGCCTAAATAGGAAATACGACTGGAGCCATGCTAAAAGAGGCACGCATTCGTAGTGGGGGCTCCTGCGTCTTCTTTGCCGTTTGCTTTATTTCCATGTCACCCTTGCTTGATTCGTGTGGTTTGTCCCTTCATCCCCTTCGTGGCTTCTGAGCTCCGCTTCCTTTGCGATCTATGAAGGCCACGTCCTTCCTTTCGCTGCATTTTGCCATTCTTGCCATGTTGGTACTCCATCTGCTTCCATCCAAAAGGCTTTTCTGCGTGATCTGGCCAAGCCTCTACCTCCCTCCATCTGATGCCTCTCTCCATCTGATTAAAACCTACTACCAATCCTGTTTTTATCTCTTGGCTGCGTGCACCGAGCCCTCGGCATGCCGGTTGAGGCTTTTTGTCTCGGCACTTCGCTCCTGCCCTCTCCTAGCGTCAGTGCGTCTGGCTGTAACCCCTCGTTTCTCCTCTGCCTCTCTTCTGCAAGAAGCGCACATGGCCTACTGCGTCGCTGAATGAGGCCTTCCTCCCCAGGTTCTTGGGCAGGCAAAAGCCCAAGCCGGCCTAGCTGGTAGCACAGGGTGTCTCAGACTGTGCGCGATGACGCTTAGTGCTTCGAGCTCACGTCTCTGCATGCGCTGGCTCTCCACGATGTGAGAACGGCGTCTGAGGCTCACACACCACACGTCTGTGCTGCACCTCTAGTGTCGCTGCCTCTCCTGCTGCTGCTGCTGTGTTACAGCTGCAGTATGGCCGGCTGGGTTTTCGTTCCATATCCCTCAGTCCATCAGCTGCGGCGCTGCGCGCAGCAGCAAAAGAGGCAGGGGCCTTCAGCAGCACAGGACAGCCTTTGCTGCTGGAGTTACAGAGGCCCCCCTCCCCCCTCAGGTTCTGCACTCCCCTTCGTTCCCCCGACTGGGAATATACATTTGCTGCTGCGGCGAAAACCACAGGCGACCTACCTGTCAACTGCCGGCGTCAGCAGCAGCAGAAACAGCAACAGAAGCAGCAGCAGCCGGGGGCACTCGACACCACAGATCGGGAGCCGCTAGGAGAGCCTTCACTTCTGTACCTGCGCAAGATCCGCTGGTACGCACAACCCCCCCTTCTTTGGATGCAGGCAGCAGCAAACAAGCTCGTCACCGCAGAAAAACAGACACATCCTGCAAGCAACACGGGGGGAGGAAGAGGGGGGGAAGGCGCTAACAGATCGCATTATGCTACTGCTGCGCTCATTGTCTGGCTGCAGCTGCACCGGCTCCTGTCCCTGTTTCGTTTCTCTTGAGCTTCCTGCAGGATGGCACGCAGTGCAGCCATCCCGCCGCGAGGTCTTCGTTCTGCTACTCACCGCTTGCGAGACTGGAGCGTCTTGGCAAATGCTGCAGCAAGGGCAGGCAACATTGAAGCTGCGGCTGCCGCACACTATTCCTTGGGGTTGCTGCTGGAAGGCAACAAAATGTTTGGAAAGGCCCTGCTGCACTACACAGAATTCCTTAAGATGGCGACTATCCTAGACTCCCACGAACTTCAGGCCTTGGCACACAACGCGTCCGCTAATACACCCTAAGCTCCGGGTTCTTGAACCCGAAGTCAGCAGCTGATGTCTCCTTTTATTGGCTTTCCTTCTGTGGCCCTTTGCACTGCCACCCAATGCCTTATTCTACCCCCTTTCCCCCCTCTCTCTCCCAGAAGTTGCGACACAACGAGGTTCCTGTCGCAGTGCGCAGTGGCTAACACTGCTGCTGCAGCGATCAGCGGTCACTCTTGACCCTGCGCCTAGACACCCACGGCGGCCTCATTTCGTACGATGCATGCGCTGCAAAAAAATCGTTTCAAGGTTCGCTTGCGCCTTTTACGGTTGCTGCTGATATCGCTGTTCGCTGCAGTAAGGGCGTTGTATTCGCGGCTTTGGACATGCTAAATGACGCCGTGCAGGAGCATCTATTGCAACTAAAGCTCTCAGACGAAGCCGGTGGGTTGCGAACTCTACACCATTCGCGGCTCGTGTAGATGTCGTCTTACGCAGGTGCCTTTCTGCTACGGCCGCCACTGCTGCAGATGTGGCTGCAGTCTTGCGTACTCTGCCAGCGTGCGACTGTGTGTGTGTATATGTGTAAGTGTGTGCGTTTATGTATGTATATGCGTGTATGTGTATGTATGTGTGTGCCTATGTGTGTATGTGTATGTATGTGTGTGTATATACATGTGTGTATGTGTGTGTATATGTGTGTATGTGTATGCATCTGCGTGTAGATCTAAATATTTATTGGTACATGTTTATGTCTATCTGTCTGTCTGTTCTTAGGGCAGCTGGTGGCGCACATGAATTTAGGAATTTTGTTGCACAGAATGGGCAAGACACTTTATCTTCTGTTGTCGCCTCTGGCATTGAAGCAAAGAGCCTCCCTCCGCTACCAGAGTCTTATCGATAGAGCTGTGCGTCTGGCTGCTGCGGTCGGTGCAGGAAAAGATGAGGAAGCCCGGCGTCACTTATCAGCAGCAGCAGATCTCGGAGTGGAGCTGAACGACCCCTTGAGTTATTCGCTCGCTCTTGGCAACTTGTCAATCTGCTCTGAACCCTCTGGGTATCTTTGAGGAAGTGCACAGCGGGCTGCATCTTCTTCCCTCTCTGTGGCGTTCGTTTCTCTCTGTGTTTGGTCTTCTTCAGCTTCTCTTGACGTGTGCCCTCCTGTGTTTCCTCGATCGCTGTTGCCGCCTCAACAGTGCAGCGCGAGGAGCATCCAATAAGGATCCAGAACTATGGCCGCGGGCAGCTGCACCGTCAGTGGCAGAGCCGTCGGCAGCCTGCGTACTAACACATGCCCGAAGCACTCCCGGCACGCCTGTGCTTTGTGTTGGGTGCTGCTTCGGCGATGCCTGCAGAGACTACGAGATGTCAAAAAGACTTCTTGAAGAGCATCTCGTCAGGGTTCAGCGGGAAATTTCCAGGCTTGCAGCACACAGGCCCCCGGCTGTGCCCTTAGGGGATGCACGGGCTGTTCTGCAGCAAGATACCAAGGAGAGACGTCAACACAAGCTCCGGCTGCATCTGCAGCAGCAGCCAGGCTCTGGAGGGCTTTCCTGCGCGTCTGCGGGAGCAGGCAGCGCACTCCAGGAGAGGGAAGGAGACAGAAGAAGCAGCGGTAGCACCAGCACTGCTCCTCCAGACGCCTGTACAGCCGCTGCCGAAGGCGGAATGATGCTTGCTGGAGGATGCTGCCAGGCGAATGCAGCCGCGTGTTTCCCTCTTCAAGACCCCAAGAGATGTTTTGAACAGAAGGCGAGGAGGGCGGCTTTGAAGCTGGGAAAATCCGCGAACGAGAGCCGGCACACCCTGGAAACAAAAGGCAATAGTTGCAAATCACGTGTCGAGACACCATGTGCAGGCGGTAAGAGGCTCGGGCACCCTGGCGCAGCGGCTGCAAGCGGCAGCTCCGGTTGATGTTGCTGCTGCAGCCGATTCGAGTGCTCCTCCGAGGTGCGTGTGTGTGTCGCTTTAGCCAAGAGAGACAGCGAGGCCTCTATGGCGAATGCCAGGAGAGCGGCCACAGCCGCTGCTGCCGATCTCCTTAGCGCGCACCAGGGCGTTCCGCAGGCAGCAGAAGCAGCAGCAGCGCTGCTGGTCCGACATGCAGTCGCAAGTGCACAGGCACAGGGGAATCTCGCCGGGGGGGGGCAGCAGCAGCAGCAGCAGCAGCAGCAGCAGCAGCAGCAGCAGCAGCAGCAGCAGCAGCAGCAGCCCCCAGTGCAGCACAACCCTCCCCAGCAGCAAGCCAGTGCAGCTACTACGCTCAATCCACCGACTCAAAAAGGCAGCCAGGCGCAGAGTCAGCAGCAGCACGAGCAGCCGCACCAAACGCGGGGCGTTCGTTTCCGTGAGAAATCCCTAGGCAGCAGCTCAAGTGCTGCATTGACGCCTTCCACAGCAGCCACAGCGGCAGCAACAGGAGGGCTGGACAGCCTGTTGTTGCGCCGAATTACCAGCAGACAGCGCTATCTGGATGCCGCTAAGCGACTCTCCGCTTTAGCAGTCTCAGGGCCTGGCGCACTTCACCGGCTCTACGTGGGCCATGCTGGGCGTCGTCGCAGCAGCGAAAAACGCAGCAACAGCTACGAAAGCGGTGGCAGCAGCCTCAGTCACAGCAGCAGCGACTCCGAAGGCTCCGTGTGCGATATCTATGAGTGCGACATCCAGCAACGGCTGCTCGAGGAAGCAGCAGCAGCAGCAGCTGCAGCTGCTGCTGCTGCACAAGAGCAAGAACAGCCGCAGGAGCAGGAGCGACCAGCAAAGCAGCAAGCTCTGCCACGACGGCAGAGCGATGCGGTGGTCTCAGAGGCAGCGGCTCCAAGAAGAAGCCACAGCCTCGCCGCTAACAACAGCAGTGGCAGTAAGCACCCCCTCAAAGCCTCCTTTTCGAGGCGCATCGAAGACTCTTGGGCCTCTAGAATGGACTCCCACAGGATCTCCGTCGCAGAATCGCTCGTTATTTGCGGAAGTAAGCTCCAGAGTTAAAACCTTTAAGGTCGCCTGCCATCGCAGTGTGGTGCAGCGGCGTGCGCCTCTCTGTAAGCCTTTACAACCAACCCACCCAAGCGCCAGCCTTACCTCCAAGTCGTCATGGCCTTCGGTTCGTAATGCGCCGTAGAAAGCAATCTTCAGCATCTGAGCACTGCTACCGCGGGCGCTGGAAAGTACCAGCGGGCTGTAGAGCAATTATCGGAGTAAGCCGAAAAAGGGGGTCTTGGATGTTGCCCCTTTTTCCCCTTCCACCTGCCTGCCCTTCTCTTGAGGAGCCACTTCATCCTCCTGGCCTTGCCCCTGCGTTCTCGCACTCTTCTGCCACCATCTTAATTTGCTAGCCACAAGAGTGCCTGCATGCCAAACCGGCGCTATCTCCGTCCCTCCAGCTAGCCATAGCTCACCGGCCTTGGCAGCAGCCTGGGACTGGCTAAGGAGCCGAGGGGGTGCCGCCTTTGCGCAGCACCTCCTTGCACGCTTCCATCGCGAGCGAGATACCGCGACACTCTGCGGGAGACATCAAGCTATGCGCGAAACGTGTGACGAGCCGCTGGAGGCCGTTTGTGCTTTTTCTAAAAAACTCACCGCCACGGAAAAGAGAGAACGCAAGCGAGACACACTGACCCAACGCCGTGTTGGCTTGTTCTCTTTAGGGTCTAAGCTTGACTCGCGAACTTTGTGCGCAGAGTGCTGGCCTTATCCGAAGACGCAAGGCACTCCACAGACAGAGAAGAAGCCAGAGTTGCGTATGGTAAGCACCTGTTCAACCCTCTGCCTGGCGCTAAGCAGCCCTCCTGACCTGCACTCCGCCAGCTACCTTCCTGGTGTCTCTCCATCGCGGCTCGTGAATACTGCGGAAGGCGGTCCTGCGCCTCCTCGCTTCTTTGGGGGCTGCCTGCCTTCCCTGGCGACTCCTCTCGAGCCACTGCCTGCCCCCTTCTGCGGCGTTCAAAGCCCTTGCACCCCAAACAGTGCTGCCTGTGCTTGCTTCTAGCCGCTTTTTGCGTTGTTTCTGCTGCGGCTACTGCTGCTGCACTGCACTGCCTCAACCGTGTGCTGCGGTGCTCATTCTTCACCAGGCATCGTGCTAGGAAGGGCTCGCTTCGCAGGGCATCAGGAGGCAATTCGCTCACAATTTCGACGCCAGCAGGCACAGCAGCTAGAGGCGTAGGTACAGTATTATTCGGATTCGCGTTCAGCCTTTCTTGCCCGCAAGGGTGGCCTCACCGCTTTTGTATGTCGCAGTGAGCCAACTGGGGGAGTGCTTTTTTTTCGGGGTCCCTGCGTTTCCAAAGGGAATTCGCTCTCGAATGCCCCTCCCCCCCCTGACTGGGGGTATATAATTTTTGTAGTGTCTTTCCAGTACCCCACGAGGTTTCTCCCCAGCAAACTGGTCCTGGCCTCCTCCCGACTCTCGCAAGATATGCATTTAGCAAACCAGTAAACCCCAAGGTGCATGCAGGAGCACTCTGATCCGTCAGAATACAAAACAGGGACCCTAAACGCGGCCGGCCCTTTAGGAAATTAGAGGAAGAAGGAGGGGGCCCTATGCGTCTCGTATCCTAAGCTATCTTCGAAAAGGGGAGGAAACATGTCTCTCTGCAACTGCCCGTGGAAGTCATTTGACACCTTCTGATTAAAAATGTGGCGATGCAACAAAATCTCCACGGGGCGGCTTACTAAGGCATACCCGCAACCTTCGCCATTTCAAGCAAATTCAGCAGAGGACGCGAGCACAGTTGGTAATTGCACCCCTGATACCTTTCCTACAAAGGACATATCGATATCGTGAGGCTTCCTTCGCTTCCCGCAAAGAAACAAGCAGAGAAAGGAATCCCATAAATAACTGCCCTACATATATATATACATATATATATATATATATATATATATATATATATATATATATATATACATTTGTAGATAGGGCCTCTGCAGAGCGCCCCCCAAAGAGGCCTCAAGCGTTTATACGGCTGCCTATCTGGCAGCAAGTTCTGCCTGTCTAGTAGACCAAGGCGCTTCAAGTGCAGCTGCCAGCCTCCGCTTATGGCCCTTCGTGCTGCAGTGTTTTTCTAGAGTTTCCTTGTTGATGAAGTAGCGGCTGCAGGCTCTGCAGAGATGCTGGCCGGCCCCTGGAAGATCTTCGTCTACGGGGAGGGAGGGAGACGGCGCTGAGACAGCCTTATGCGCTGCGATAAGCGTAACAGACGCATCTTGTTGCGGTACATACGCATAGACATATATATGCATGCATCTACAACCAAAAATAAATACAGCGAACGAACGGGCGCTGGGAACGAAAACAAGGTTCAAGACGGCAACGAATGCAAGTCAGAAAAGGCAATAGACCAATTTCGAGAACCCGAGAAAGCCGCAACCCCATGCATACAGGAGACTATCGAGCAGAATGCAGCGATGACTGTTTCGTGCCTGAATATGTGCCTCTCTCTTGAGCGGTTCGCGGCAGATGTGCTAGTATCACCCCCAAAGGGTGACTTCAGATCTTAGACGTACCTTGGTCCTGATCCAGTGTGCGTCTCTTGAGGTCCCTTGTGCCTCTCTTGAGTTTCCTATTCTTGGAGCCTTTGGCTGCCTTTTGACGCCTCCCCATTGTCAGCAAACTCCCCCCAAACACCAGCAGGATACTCCCCACGTTCCCCTGGATAAAGTGGCAAGTCTTTAGACGCTTCTATGCTATGGGGCCCTCTGGTGATATGGGGTGGTGAACGGAACACAGCGAAGTGGAAGGGAGCGAGCGCGTGGGTTAGGCAGGTAGATACAGGGGATCTGGGAAGAATTTATGACCCCTTCCCTCCACAGGCGGCACGGCAAGGACTCACGCGAGCATATATATATATATATCGGAAATGGATCTCAGAAAGGCGCGAATTCGCTTTTGCACGAGCAGCGGCAGCAGCACCAGCGCGCCGTACGGGGAACGGACGATGGCAGCGATTTTCCGAGTTTGCTAGAGGAACGAAGCGTGGGGAGTGGAGAAACGTGGCTTGTTTTCGGATGCAAAGAGTCCAAAATAAGCTTATTTATGCAAGAAAATGAAATAAATATGCTGCTTCTTGCCAGTGGAGGGAGAACGAGGTAACGTCGAGGAGCCGGAGGGCCCCCTCTCCGCCCTTCCTGATGAAGGCGCAGCCAAGCGCAGCCTTTTAAGACGCACATCGTGGTAGCCATGCGCATGTTCTTTCTTCTAGCCCCTTTTTGGGGCTTTGTTGTCGGCTGGAGGAGAATAAGCATTCCAAGGGTCAAAACGATTACTGCATCGGCAGTTTTCTTGTTCGGCTCTTGCCAGCAGCAGGGGGGGGAAAAGCCTCCCTCGTGGCAAGTGTTGCAATCATTGTTCCCCCTGCTCGCTCTACTTCTGCCCGTTCCGCTGGGTTTGCAGATTCAGCGTGTTGGGCTGTGCGACTTTCCACCAGTGCCTAGAGCCTCCTCAGGGGCCTTCCCCGACTGCTAGAGTGCTGCTGTGACAACTCACGGCTGCAGCAATAGGGCATCGCCGCTGCTCCGCTGTTTGGCATTGGACTGTTCCTTCCTCTTGGCTGTCGACATACGTGATGCAACTAATGGGCGCCCCCTGCTTGCAGTCGTTTCCATCGCTGCTTCCTAACGAAGGCGCTCGGCAGCCTGTGAAGAAGCCGCAGGGGCGGCTGTCGCACAGCCACACAGACATGCAGAACTGCAGGAGCAAGACGCACGCCAGTTGGTGCATATACTTCCGCCGGATGAAGTTCTAGAGGAATTGCCTCTGGGGTATGCTCATATGCAAAATGTTGCGGGGCTGTCCCCTCCAAACACAGCGCTTCCCTCCCCCTACCGAGGGATTTTGATGCGCCGATCGCAAACGGTGCAAAGAAGGCGGTAGCTCCAACGAGCAAAAATGATCTTGGGAAGCAAAGACAACCAGCGAAAGCCCGCTTAAGCCTGGTGGACAAAGCGCCGTCTTCGGAGCTGAACAGCCTCCCTCCCCACAGAGGTTCCGAGGAGGTGTTCGTTGGGGGCGTTTTGTTGGTCCTTCCAGGCGGCTCTGTTTCGAATAGCTTGAGCATACCTGCCAGCTTCATTATGTTCGTGCTTTTCGCCGTAACAGGATTTGCACGCACCGCGGTTGGCCCCTACCTACCACACACCAGCTGCCGGAAACGTGAGGGGTGGATCAAGAACCAAGGGAGCATTCTGAATAATCTCCGTGACTAGGGCTACTACTCCGTCTCCGCAAATGCATGTCCATAGGCTTTCTTGGGGGGAGGCGAAGCAGATCGCACACAGCGCCTTGCTTACAGGAAGTGCAGCCTGTTTGCAGTCGTTTAGGGGCCCCCAACCGGGGGGGGAGGGGGGCCCAAAGGGGGTTCATACCTCACTTCCGTGTTCTGAATGTGAGTCACGAAACTTTGAACCTGGCGTTCCCCAACTGATCATCAGGGGCCTTACGCCAATCAGAAAGAGCCTCGAATTGACAGGCGCCCCGTGTTCATTCAACACACAGGTGTATTTAGGGACCACGCGGTGTCGTTCGCTAGGCCTCAGGTGCTCCTAGGAAGCCACGCTGCCTTGCCTTTCCGTAGTAGGTGCATCCGACTTAGGGCTAGCTCGTTTGGGGAATTTCAGTGCCACTGTTTTTCTTGGCACTGCATGCGTAAAAGGGGAATGTAGGCCTCCCCTTAACGCCCATTTGATATGCCACCACCCCTTGTGTGGGGCCACCAAGGATTAAGAGGCCTTGGCCTCTTAGTCCTTGAGGAGGATAAGACTCACTTTTGGGGGTTATAGCGTTGCCCTCCATCGACTCTTCCACTGCTCTTGGAAGTGCGGTGAGCGCTTGAGGATGTTTTCAAGGGACTAAGTCCTACAGCTAACTTCGAGCGCGTGGCCCCTGTTTAGTTCGCAGGCGCACCAGTTGAATGGGCGAAGCAGTCGCCTGCAGCTCTAAATGTGCATTAGGCCTCGGGAGCTATGATTCCCGTAGCGAGGCTGGGCTGCTGCTGCTGGCAAAGGCCGACAGGCAACGAACGTTACGTCTTCCTCCAGGTACTACAGGTCTCTACGATACAAAATAACATGACAAGGATAGAGAAATATAACTATTGTTTCCCGAGGCAGCGAAGTAGATGTTTCGTCGACAGAGCCCACCTATATGAGGTGGCCCTGCGCGTGACCAGGTGTACAGACACTGAAACACAACGTTTACAGGGCTTCATGAAAGCTAGGAAAAGGGCTCGACTAAGAAGCGGTGAAGCAGCTGAATTGCTAAACGATTTTATTCTTCAAATTATTTAATGAAGGATTGTACTTTACGTTATTGTAAAATACATTGACCACATAGGGTGGGTGGGCTGGTGCTGCTGGGTGGTGGCTGGCATCCTCCATCCGCAAAGATTTGGTTTCGGCAAAGGTAAAAACAGGGGCCGAAGGCACGTAGTGACTCACGGCCTCTACAAGACACAAAGAGTAGAGACCAAACTACCTGCAATGGTAAAGAGAGGGTTTGTTTATTGTGGGAATGGTTGAATGGGCGTCCTGTCCTTCCTGCGGTAAGGAAGACTTGAATGCAGGGCCTTTATATGCCCATTCTAGGGTTAAAGTTGCTCATAGACGGGATGCAACAAATCTCCCGTGCATTTATATTCAAGAAATAGCAATCTATGAGGTTGTTTTCAGAGAGACTAGGCGAAAAGAGTGACCTTCTCTGCGGACGAGGCCGAGCCTTGTTGGTTGTACGTGGGTCCTGCTGACTGCGGCAAAGCGTCCCTTTACTGTGTGGTTATCTCACTTGTCTTGCCTTCTTTGCTCTCGAGTTTTTCCTTTACAAGGCGAAATAGATGCAAGACACCCTGCCTGAGCTTCCACTTTGCCCTTCTTCAGATTCCATCCAAGGCTTCGATCGCCTTCCACAAGGCTTGCCTGCCCCACCGACGCATATTTACGCACACATGCACACACCGCAAGGCACGCATAACGACAGTGGGCCTCGGGCCTCCTTTCTTTCTATTCTTTATTTTCTGAACGTCTTATTTCTTTTTATGCTTGTTAAGGAGGTCACCCCCCTCCCCGTACAATAGCCCACCCTATCCCCGATGTGGCTGCACAAACTCTGACAGTTGAAACGAACGCACTCAACACGCCAAGGTCTGCCTTCACCCCTTAAGGCATGCCTTCTTTTTCACTCCTTGGCATTCCCGCAGACCGCATCTGCTCCTCTCGTGCCTTTTCCCCCTAACTCTCCCCGATCCAACAAAGGCCCACCACGGGTGCTTGCGTCCTTGCACAAAATAAGCACCCGCCGCTCTCCCTTTCCACCAGAAAGGCTCACAATGGGCAGTCTCCTTGACCGTCTTGTCTTTATGCCTCCGCCCAAGACGGATATCTCACTGTATCCGGTGGAGTATCTGCGAACAGCGAAGGGCAGCATTATTCCCTTTGTGTTCATAAGGGGCTCCTCCCCCTTAACGCTGCTGTACAGCCACGGGAACGCCGAGGACTTGGGGGGTGCCCTTCGCTACGTTCGCGGCTTCATGGCTGCTCTGGGTGTCTCTATCTGCTGCTACGAGTACAGCGGCTACGGCCACAGCAGAGGACAGGGCCCCAGCGAGACTCATGTCTACGCTGACATTGAGGCAGCCTTCAATCAACTGATCCACAGGCACCATGTGCCACAAGAACAGATCGTCGTTGTGGGCAGAAGCCTTGGCACAGGCCCCTCAACGTTCCTCGCCGCGAAGTACCCAGGCATCAAGGCCCTCGTCCTCATTAGCGCCCTAGCCTCCGTCTACAGGGTTTCGATTCCCGTCCAAATACAGTCGCTACCAGGCGACAGGTTCTGTAGCATAGATAGAATGCTAAAGGTGAAAGCCCCCTTGCTGCTTTTACATGGCACAAACGATAAACTCACGTCTCCGGAACACGCGAGGGCCCTTGCAGAGAAAGCAGGGGCCGAGTACAGCGTCTGCTGCTTCTTATCGGGTGCCACACACCGAACCATCCTGTCCTCTGACTGGAGGCCTATTATTAACGACGAAATCAAACAATTCCTCATCAATACGCACCCGCCAAGAAGCAGCAGCACAAACCCCAAAGAAGATTCGAGGCGTCCTCGAACCACGTACATGCGCTTTAAAGAAAAACCGACTTTTTCCAGAGCCAGCAAAAATGCGGCACCAGCACTGACCCGCCTGCTCAGCGGCATGGCTATTGCGTGAATGCATGCAAGACGCCATGTGGCTCGCCGAGGGCCACGTCGCTCTATAAGTAGAGCCTCGAGAAGGAGAGCCAACTCTCAGCGACAGGGCGAATTCCGCGGATAACGAGGCCTATCTTGAGGAATTTGTACACTTAGAAGAGCTCCCCAAGAAGCGCCTTCGTTTTCACCCGAAGTTTCTGCTTCCGCGGAGAGGCCGCCTGTTAGCCCCTCAGGAAGGTGCATCGAAAGAGAAAGGCCTTCAAGGGAGTACTCCCTTGTGTACAGAGAAAGAGAGAAAGAAACCACCTCAATTTCCTCAATTGCCTTCTAGAGGCACCGGCCGCACGGGAGGACTGCCCCCCTCCTCCCTGCCCCCAGTCAGCGTGCTTTTGCAAAATTGAACCTGGGAGGCCAGGTTCCTGGGAAGAGCAGCCGTTTTTTTGTTTGGACCCCATCCGGGCTGTACGCGGCTCTTCGTGGCTTTGTATTTTCAAAGAGAGCTTCAAGACTTTGAGAAGCTGAGACTGTAGAGGGGGAGGGGCGATTTACTTCCCTAGGAGGGAGCAGGGGCAAGGAGCTCAGGGGAAGGCGTAAGGGGGTGCGTGAGGAGGAACTCAGCGGAGTGCCACATTCGGGTGTCTATACACCGACCCGAAAAAACGATACGTCAGCATGATAGACTGGGGTCCTCCCCCGTCTCCCCGACGCCTTGGCTAATGCCTGCTGAGTGAACTCATGGAGAATCGTACTAAAGCAGAACCCCCGCTGCGAGGCGCGCGGCCCCTGCCGCTGGCATCTAACACATAGGGATGAAAAGGAGTACTATGGGTCTTAGGGTATAGCACTAGTGGAAGAACTTGCACAGCCGCATTTCCCCTGGCCTCCCGTCTCCCCCTCTTCCTTCTCCTCCTCCCCCCCGCACATGCGTTCGTTCAAGCCCCCTTTTAGAAGGCCTCTCTGCACGTGCCGTCTACTAGCCTATGGCCAGGCTTCGCAGGGAAATCGCGGATGGTTCTCATTGACCATGGCTGCTGCAGGGGAGCTTGTACTTCGCCTGCAGAGACGCCCTTTCGTGAAGAAGCCGATTCTAAATGTTGGGCCTCGCTATGCAAGGTGCCTCTAGACTCATGCAGCACGGTGAGGGGAGGCGAGTGCACAGACACTTAGCGCACAACGTAATATCCAGAGGTCCTGCGCAGGAGCACCAGAGTAGTCTCTGGGGAGTAGGCAGTAGACAGCAACAGAGGCGCGAAGAGCAAATGCAGCAGCCGCAGACGAAGCGGTACCCACACAGCATACGGTCACACTGTCGGACTGAAAGGTCTCTTGAATAATTTTGCTTCCAGCAGGAGGCGTTAAACGCCGTACACTACAGGCTGGCCGTCTCAGGTGTGTGTGTGTGTGTGTGTGTGTGTGTGTTTTTTTTTTTTTTAATAACTTTTTTTCTTTAAAAATTTTATTTCGAGTCCTGAAGCCTCCTAAGAGGCGGCACGCAGTGCGGCTGCCGGCATGAAACAAATCGCGATTCAAAAGCGCATAGACGAGAAGAGAGGGCCTTTTTGCAAAATGCGGAAAAAGCCGAATTCTCTTCCAACCCCCTTCTAAGGAGTTGCCGGGTGCAGCTAGGTCCTCATGACGCCTAAATAACGACAAATTCCTCACAACACCTCTCTTCTTCCGCGCACGCTCGACTCATATGGGTTCAAAATGCCAAATCCCGTTCTCCGTCCCCCCAAGAATCCTCAAGTGCGAGTGCGTGGGGGCCCCCCTGTGTGGTGGGGGCCCCCCGCCCCCCCTCGCGGGTACAGCCCGGGGGGCCGCTGCCGCCTCGCCTTCTTCTCCTGGTGCCTTCTCCTTCCTGGAAGAGAAAATGCATTTTGCGGAGAGCGCAAGAATGATGAATTGTGAAGCGCAGACTTTTGGTTCAAGGGGGCCCCTGTTGCAGTGTTGCGACAGCAGATGATGTTGGGGGCCCCCAGCGTCCGACGGCTGCGAACCGGATGCATTGCAGCAGTGCCCTCCAGCACGCACAGCACCCTCCGAATCTCCCTTCCACAGCTGCAGCTGCAGAAGGGATATCCACGATGTGGCGAGGAGGATAAGCAGCAGCAAGAGCAGCAGCTGCTGCTCTTGCTGCCCAGCAAGAGCAGCAGCTGCAGCAGCACAAGCAGTAGCAAGAGCAGCTTCTGGTGGGGGCTGATTCATAATACGAATGCGGAGTTGCTGAGCGACACCTTTCGCTCGCCAGCAAATGGGCTGTTTCCAGCGGACTGCTTCTTCTCCTCGAGAGGCGATGCCAGATACTCCAGAGCTGCGACTCGACGCATCAGCAACGCGGCGTCAGTAAGCCCTCATGCAACTGGAGGAGGTGTCGCAGCTTCTAGAGGCACTGCAGCTGCAGACACAGCGGTGTCTACAACCCCACCACACACCCCTCCACGGGCAGCAAGCAGCCCATTAGCAACAGCAGGAAGACGACCATTGGCAACAGCAGGAAGACGACCATTGGCAACAGCGGGAAGACGACCATTAGCAACAGCAGGAAGACCACCTTTGGCAGCAACAACAGCACAAAGCAGTGCGTCTATTTCCGCTGCTGCAGGGGAAGCAACCGCAGCAGCGACAGCGCTTGCATCCCTTGCTGCAGTTCGAGTTGTGTCTGCAATCACAAAGAACCTCGAGGGGACCCCTAAACCTCGGGAGTCTCCGTCTTCTCCCTCTCATAAAGCAGCAGCAAGAACAGGCGCAGCAGCAACAGCAGATGCAGCGGAGCTTTTCAGACTGGGAACAAGCCATCCTTCGGCAGCGTCAGCAACAACAAGGCTGCCTTCTTTGCCGCCTCTCTGTGGTTTGCGAAAATCGAGGGTTGCTCGAATTTTGCGGGAGGGGTATCGGCGTTGCTTGCGGCACCTAAGAGAAGAACAGCAGCAGCCTTCGCAGCAGCAGCTGGAGGAAGAGCACCAGCAACACCAGCAGCAGCATGCGTTAAGGTGCCTGGTAGCGATGATTTGCATTGACAAACCTGCGATTTTTAGCCGCCTGCTGCTAGCAGCTCCTTTGCAGCAGCAGTCTGCCCTTGTGGAAGTATGCAAGTCGTCCCGCTGCTGGCTTTTCTCTTCTCGTGGCAGTCAGCGTCTCTTCTTCTCTAAAGTTTTCAGGCTCCTATTTGTGTGTATGTGTATTTGTGTGTATGTGTATTTGTGTGTATGTGTGTTTGTGTGCATGTGTATTTGTGTGTATGTGTATTTGTGTGTATTTGTATGTATGTGTATGTGTATGTGTGTATGTGTATGTGTGTATTTGTATGTATGTGTATGTGTATGTGTGTATTTGTATGTGTGTATTTGTATGTGTGTATTTGTATGTGTATGTGTGTGTGTGTATTTGTATGTGTATGTGTGTATTTGTATGTGTGTATTTGTATGTGTATATTTGTATGTGTGTGTTGTGGTTGGTGGTGTTTCCATCCGTTTGTCTTCGTATTTGCGTGTCTATGTGTTGGTATGTGTGTGTATGAACATACAGCTTTATGTAAAGAAGTAAAAAAGCTCTTTTGATTCTTGAGTGCCTTCTTGCGCTTTGCATTTGTCTGCAGGCAACCTGCGGAGACACCCGGCTGGTGCGCGTGGCAGCTCTGCTGCTGCCACGCCTCTTGCGGGCTGTCTCATTGCTGCAGCAGCCGTCCTTCAGCAGCGTTTCGAATTCTGCTGCTTTTACGCCTGTCAGAGTTCGACTTCCCAGACTGAATGATCGCATAGAGCAAACCCTCTGCATGGACTCCCCAATGGCAGAGGGAGTTGCAGACTGCAGGTGCATGCGACGCTGGCTGTACAGACACCTCGTATGGAAATGGTCCTTAGTCGCCCTCGAGACACTCCAAAGGCAGCAGGAAACGCAGCATTTGCGCCCTCTGCTGCAGGAGCTTCTTTTTATTGAGGTTACACGAACGCAGCGTTTTATTTCTTCGCTGCAGCAGCAACAAGAAGAGCTGCAACAACGAGAAGAAGCGCAACAAGAAGCGCAGCAGAGGCAGCACCAGCAACAAGAAGAAGCGCAGCAAGAAGAGCAACACAAACCGTCAGCAGCAGCAAGAAAAACGGCATGGTCGCAAGGATGGCTCCAGTTGGTGGAAGAAGCAGCACATCCCTCTATAGTGTTGCGGGTAGCTCTCTCTGCCTTGCTCCGCAGCGGCAGTGGCAGCAGCAACCCCACCACTACCACTACCACAAGCACCTCCAAGGCTATGCCTGACTACTCTTCTAAGACTCTTTGGAAGACAGTGGCCTTCTGTCTTCGCCAAGAAGCGAGGCAGCATGCGTCTCAGTGCTTGGGATTGTCTGGCGGCGACTCTGTGAGCCTTGATGCAAGCCATCCTGGTTCCCCTCAGCGTGCTGCTGTTTCAGATCCCTCTCCTCAGCAGTCTGCATTTCTCGGTAAAATGTCAACACCAGAGAAGACTTTGAAAGTGCCGCCTACGATTCTACAGAGCTGCGTTGTTGGAGACACTGCAACGGCTGGGAGTGCTTCGAAGGAAGAACCAGCTCTCTCCTTGACTCCCCCCCCTCACGCTGCGGCAGCAGCGGCGATAGGGGCAGAAGGAGCTGCAGCTCTCTTGCAGTCGGAGAACAAGGCTTTCGAAGCAGGTGCAGTCGCTGCTGAGGAGGACGAGGCTTGCTACAAATCGCGCGTGGAGCTGCTGTACGAGGCTTTACATAAATATGTCGCCCTCGAGACGGCTACGGCAGCTGCCGCTGGAGAACTGCTCCCCCGACTGCCGCAGTGGTGGCAGCCTGCCTTCGGAAGTCTTCTGCTCAACGCTCCTCTGTCATCCGTCTTCAGACTGACGCTTCTCGAGGCTACCAGCCCAAGCAGCAGGCGGCGAAAGCAGCTGCTGCTGCACGAGGGAGCCTCCCTCTCCGTGCTGCGGCTGCGTAAAAAGCGGCAGCAGCAGCAGCAGGGAGAGCGACCTTTTGCTGCAGGAGCAGCAGCTGCTTTGCCGCATGCGGTGCCACTTCACACCGCAGCAGTCGCAGTAGCAGCAGCAGAGGCTCACACGGCAGCTGCATCAAGAGCAGCCGCAACATGGCCTAGACAGCTGGTGCTCGCAGAGGCAGCGGCAGCAGCAGCCAAAGCCGCCCTCAGCAACGAGGAGCTGCTCCGGCTGCTGCATATTCACCAAGCGTCTCAGAAGGCAGCTTCACACTACGAGGCTCTAGAGCAGCAAGAGGAACAGGAGGCGCAAGAGGGAAGGGAACAGATGCAAGGCAATGAATTTGAGCGGCAGTCACTGCTGCTGCTGCAGGCGCACCCGCACGTGGTGGCAGCAGCAGCGTCTACAGAGGGAGCTGCTGCTTCCTTGACGTCGAGCTTCGGCTCTGTGCGGGTGTCTTCGGAGACAGCAGGCACTGCTCTGCCTAAGACAGCAGCCACACCTGCAGCTGCGCACAGAGAGGCTGTCTCTGTGCGCAACAGTCTCTTGGATTGCTTGATGTGGCGATGTTCAAGCCTCACAGAAGCGGAGGTGTGGAAGGCTTCGCGTGAAGCTCTCAGTCTCTGCGGTGTCTCTGTGTGTCTGGCTCACCACATCATCTCGCGTGCCCTCTTCTTTGCCTTGCCGCATGCAGCTGCGCTTGCTCAGCATGCAGCAGCCATCTGCAGCGGCGAGAAGGGGCGGAACGCTTGCGCAAGTGTATCCGCATCGGTAGCAGCGACGTCTGCTGCTGAAGGCGACACTTCTGCGCATGCCACGGCAGCGCGAACCCCAGCGAAAACAGCGCAGCTTTCCTCCTGGATACGAGAAGCTACAGAGGAGGCGTGGCAGGCAGAGTCGAGCGCTGCTATCGAAGCAGCAGCCGCCGCTGTTGCTGCGGATGGAGGATTGGGACTGCTGCAGCGGTTGCATGCGCTGCTCCTGCTGGCTGCTCGCGTGGAGTGCTACAACCAGAGGCTTGTTGACGTTCTAGCAGTGGCGCTGCCCTCCGCTGCCGTCGTAACAAGGTTCCCTGCTGCTGCGCGGAGTTTTGCAGCAGCAGGAGCAGCAGCGGCAGCAGCAGCAGGAGGAAGCTGTGCTCCTCAACGCGATGTTTGTACTTTGGATGTGCTGCCAGATGCGCTTTTCACATCTCTTATTCAGGCACTTGGAAAGCTGCAGGCGAGAGCAACAGAGACTTCCCTGCAACACGCACTGCTAGAGGTCAGCTGCGCCTCCCTACCCGTGTCTCGTTTGCCGCTGCTAAACGGTGTTGTTGTCGATGATCCTGCTGCCGAATTTCGTTCGCTGTTGCTGCCTTTGCATGTCTTTGGTGCGATTTCGCTCAACGTTGTTTGGTGTGCGGGTGCTGCCGGTGCACCCTCTGATTGCCGTCGCTGTAAGTATTACTGCCTTCAAATGTTGCTGCTGTTGATGTTGAATGGTGCTGCTGGTGACTGAGAGCTTTTGAAGCGGTCGCTCTTGGCAACACCCCACACCCCCGCTCTCCCCTCCTCCCCCGCATGCGTCAGTCCTGTCTCTCTCCGCTTTCGCGATTTGCAGTGTCTCTCCGCTTCCGCCTTGCGGCGCTGCAATGGACCCCTTTCTCACTTTTCCTGCGGACAGATGCTGCTTGGACTTCATCGGTTGAGACACTGCGATGCGCATCTGCTCGAAGCATTTAGCGGCAAGTTTGCACGAGCCGCGTCTCGGCTGTATGCGCAGCTGCAGCAGCAGGAGCAGATCTCCATGCAAAAGCAGCTACAACAGCAGTCTCTGCAGCAGCTGCAGCAGCAGCAGCCGCAGCCTCTGCAGCTGTCTTCGCTTCAACACGCATTGCTGCAGTCGCTTACCCTCTCTGTGAGACAGCTGCCTCTGCTTCCACGTTGCATGCACAGATGTCGCGTAGGAGAGAGGGCAAAGGGAAACAGACAGACAGACAAACAAACACTGAGAGAGATATCCCCTCGCTGCTTCTACCCCCCTATAGGTACTTTGCTTCTAGCTGCTTCTTAATCCCACATGCTTACCCCTGCTTCCCCTGCTCTGCGACTCGCTCTTGTGTAGGTTAGCGTCATAGGGCGCATGGGGTATCTGTATTTGCCTCTTCTTCAAACAGTCGCGAAGGTAGGGAAAACGATAAAAGCCATGTTGCTCTATCGTGAGGGAGAGCATCGTTTTAGCCCTTTTTCTGCTGCTGTTGTCAAAGTCCTTTCTTGCACGAGCTCCACGGAGAAACAACTCTTCGCATCCAGCCAGCTAGCCAGCTAGCCAGCTAGCGCTCACACATCGCAAAACAGTATTCGAAGGGGCTCTCCGAGTCAGGCAAAAAGGGCTTTTGGGTTGTTTACAAGCACCGTGAGGAGGAGAGAAGCCTCGAGTTTGCCTTTTCCCCAGCATGCCGCTTACGGCGAATGTGTAGCTCCTCAGCCGCTGCCTTGGACTGTTTGTGTGTGTGTGTGTGTGTATCTGCTGCTATACAGATCCACATCTTTTTTCCTAGAGCTGTGCAGCCTATGGGGGCAACACAGCTACTGCTATGCTGTTCTCAGTTCTCTCGAATTCAAGAGGGAGATCCCCCGCTCAAGGCGTTTCTTAGTGAGGGACCAATGCAGCTGCTGCACACAGAGTTGCCTCGCTCTTTCGCTGCAATCCTGTAGAATGCAACTGCTACTGCTACTACTGCTACTGCTACTGCTGCTCTTGCTGCTCCTCTTCTGTGTGTGCAACTGCTACTACTGCTACTGCTACTACTGCTCTTGCTGCTCCTCTTCTGTGTGTGCAACTGCTACTGCTACTACTGCTACTACTGCTACTACTGCTACTGCTGCTCCTCTTCTGTGTGCAAGAGTTTGTACGTGTGGTAGCTGCAGATTGCGACAAACAGTCCTACTGCAGCCGCCTCCACTTTGGCCCCCATTGCATGCACGCTGATTACGATCATCAGGGGTGTCTGCTGTGTTTTCGCTTCGTAGGATGGTCTGTTCCCCGTCTGCTTGCAGCAGTGAGGCACGTGCCGCAGCCTCCTTCTCCTCAGCAGGCAGTCCATCTCCTATGTGCCCTCGAACAAATGCGGCTACGAGATCCCCTTACTATTTCTCACCTTCTTTGGATCTTGACTGGGCAGCTGCAGATGCATCAGCGCCAGCAGGGGAAGCTGCCTGTCGCTGCTTCCTCGGGAGCCTTCCCCCCACCCCTTGGAGAGTTACAGCTCGCGCAGACTCCTGACACTGCGTCTAGCAGCTCTTCACAGTCCTCTGGCATGCACATATTTCGTAAGTTCTTTCGAAATCCCCCTCAAAACTAATTTGGCGATGTCTTTCGCACAGCAGGAGGCCTGTAGTGCAGCCTCTGCTCTGCGAAGAGTTTAAGTATGCGAGCACTGTTGGTGCTGTGGCTTGGGATATTGTTGTTGTTGTTTTTGTTGATGCGTTTGCTCTTGCTTTTGTTGTTGTCTTTGTTGTTATTGTTGGTATTGGTATTGTCATTGCTGGTGCGTTTGCTCTTGCTTTTGGGTGTTTTTGTTATTGTTGTTAGTGTTGTTCTTCCTGTTGGTGCGTTTGCTCTTGCTTTTTGTTGCTGTTCTTATTGCTGTTATTGTTGGTGCGTTCGCTCTTGCTTTTGTTGTTTTTGTTGTTTTTGTTGGTATTGGTATTGTCATTGCTGGTGCCTTTGCTCTTGCTTTTTGTTGCTTTTCTTATTGTTGTTGTTATTGTTGGTGCGCTTGCTCCTGTTTTCGTTCCTTGTGTTATTGTTGCTACTTCTGGCGTTGGTTTTTTTACTCCTTGTGCTATGGACGCATGGCGAAATGTGTGTATGTGTATGTGTATGTGTGTATGTATAGGCGTGCATGCGTATGTGTGTATGTGTGTGTGTGTGTATGTGTGTATGTGTGTGTGGGTGTGTGTGTGTGTGTGTGTGTGTGTGTGTGTGTGTGTGTGTGTGTGTGTGTGTGTGCATGCATGTGTGCATGTATGTGTGCATGTACGTGCGTTTGTATGTGCGTGTAGATTCAACGACGAATCAACCCCCGCCGGCAAGTTTGTCCTGCGGCTCTGTGCTGAAGCGGAGGCAAGGAGTCATGAGGATCTCAAGAAAATCTGCAAAGATTCAAAGGTAGGAGGAGGCGTCTTCTGAGGCGATTCTCCATTTGCAGTCCCTCCTGCATCTCTTGCCCGTTTGAAGAAGCCGTATGTCTCAGTCCACCACACAGGCGTTCCCGTCTGGTTCCGCCTTGCAGCGCTGCCTGCAGGTTTCGGTTGCAGTTGGTCTACAGGAGGCGCTCACACTATCCTGCTCTGCATGCAGTCTTGTGAGCGCTAGGCTGCGGCAAAATAGTCTCGGGTGTCTCGCTTTCTGCAGCTTTGGTCGGTCTTCGACCCACAGTTCTGTCGTGGCAAGCAGCAGAAGGCTGGATCCCGTGCAAAGGGAGAAGGGGCCGTCAGGCGTACCGCGCATGCAGCGCCTCACGGCACTTCATCCGGAGCGTCTCCTCCCGCCAACACAGCGCTTTCCGCAACAGCAACAGCAGCACTTGCTCCTGCTCCTGCTGGCGCGGCGTCTCATGAACTGTCTGGTCCTGCTCAGCTCCCTGTTCAGCGCTTCACCCCTGACGGAGGCGCTGCAGAAGACGCACTTGCTCCCGCGAAGCTGTCTCCCGCCAACGCCGCGCACTTGTATGCTGAGGGGATGTCAACAAGGACGTTGCTTCAACCACGAGATGCCTCTGGAGGATCCGACGCAGCTTCTGCTCCGGCACTGACAGAAGGGGTAGACGTCTCCGCAGAGGCCTCTGATGCTGGCTCCGAGATGGCATTGCAACAAACGACCAACGCGGAGCCTTCGAGTGCTCATCTTGATGCCCATGCCGCTGCAGCCTTGGGGGCCCCTCGGGGGCCCCTACAGGCACCCTGGAGCAGAGAAGGTTCCCTCCTCGGTGGTCAGGGTAGGCTACGCACTGCTGCGTTCGCAGCTTCTGGGAGTCTCTTGATAGCCTGCGGACGAGTGCTCTTGTGAAAGAGAGAGGGGCGAGGAGGCGTGGCTTTGGGGGATGTGCTTGATGGGCGACGCGTGAGCGTAGAAAACACTGGTAATGCAGTTTATAGGATCTGATGGATGGCCGTTAGCGCTCTTGCTGCACTGCGTGTAGGGGCCGCTGCTGCTGCTGCGCTTCCAGGCTTGCCGGATGCCGATAACTGTCTCACGGGGAAGAGCTGGTATATCTACTGCCGAGACAATGTACGTTTCGTTGGTTCATGAGGCCGTTGCATCTGCAGCCTCGCTGATCAACGCGCGAGAGGCCATAGGCAGGGAGGGGAGTCTGCCTGCAAAAAATCCAGAGCTCCCTGCTCCCAAACCCGCAGCAGCGCGTCTTTCTTCCTCCGAGTCTCACAGACTCAGAGAAGACGAGGCTTGTTTGGCGGTATTTTTTACCGCTCCAGGGTGGCTGCCGCGGCTTTTATCGCTCCAGGGTGGCTGCCGCGGCTTTTATCGCTCCAGGGTGGCTGCCGCGGCTTTTATCGCTCCAGGGTGGCTGCCGCGGCTTTTATCGCTCCAGGGTGGCTGCCGCGGCTTTTCGTCGGCACTGGGAATGTTTTGTGTTTCTGCGCGTCTTCTGCCTTGGGCCACTTTTCCTTTATGCATATATATATATATATCGCTTGCCTTCTGCGGTGTACAACAGTCTGCACACTGAATACCGCTGCTGCTGCTGCGGAGTCGTTGGTCTCTCTCTCGTGCCTTGCAACCCTTTTCCCGATGCGGCTCTAGGCTTGTGCGCGGGGGTATAATACGTTGCGATGCGTGTGGCGTCGTGCAGATTTTGAGGCCACTCAAGGGCGATCGCTATGCTTACTTGTTTCTGACTCCAGTGCTTGACAGCTCAGAGCTTCCTGAAGCAGTGAAAACGTCTTACCGTTCTGTCATCGCAAGGCCTATGGACTATGGGAATATTTGGGTGAGACGCAACACTCGCAGGAGCTGCTGCGGCTGCGACACCCCTGCGCGAGCTGCTCTGCTGTCTTCTGCTCTCCCCATCTAACAGGCAATCATCAAGAAACTTGCTGTAGGCCATCCCCAGCCCACCTTCCTGCGTGTGAAGCCTGAGACTCCACTGTGTGGTTCTGTCGTTGACTCAAATGCGGGTGCTGTGCATCATGCAGACTAAGCTAACCGCCAGAGACTACCACCATCCTCTGGAGTTCTTTGAAGAAATGTTTCTGGTAGGCGGCAGCAGCGGCAAAGACTGTAGAGGGGGTAGCAGCAGCAGCAAAGAGTGTAGAGGTAGCAGTAGCAGCAGCAAAGGGTGTAGAGGTAGCAGTAGCAGCAGCGGGTAGAGGGACGCTGGCAGATGGTTCAAGGAAGCCTTCTAAGAGCGTTGGATGCAAGTAGAAGCGAGACTGGTGTCAGTGTTGTGCTTTGAGAGACACAGCAAGTGCGGTGGAGAGTGGTGTATCTGAAGTTCGTATGGCGTGAGTACTGCTCCCCTTTAGTAGGACAGGAGGCGTTAGTGCTGCTCTTCCCTGCAGGTGTATTCAAACTGCATGGAGTTCAACCCTCCAAACGATCAGCAGTGTGGATGGCTGCATCGCGTGGCAGAGAGGAGTCGAGATAAGTTTCTTGAGAGGTAGGTTCGAATTTTCCAGTCTTTTGCGGTTACTACTTCTGTTGAAGCCCCTTTCCTGTGGGAAGCGGCCAGGAGCTGGTTGTCACTGCCCACCCATATTGCGCTGCATGCGCACTTTGCGAGACTTCAAGAAGAGGACTGCCTCACGGTTTGTGTGTATGTACACCACCTGCAGATGGCGTCGATGGGTAGTCCGCATCTGGCGCGCTTTTGCGCAGCACAATGCTGCAGCAGCTGCAGCTCCACCTCCGATGCTGCAGCATCAGGCAGCAGCAGCTGCAGCAGCAGCAGTGGAGGCAGAACCTGAGGTTGCTGCTGGTCTGGCAGCAGCTAAAGCGGAGCTGCTAGGTCGACTGCATGCACAAGCGCCTGTGCCTCTGAAGACGCTGCAGCAGCAGCAACAGCAACAGCAGCAGCAACAGCAGCAGCTGCAACAGCAACAGCAGCAGCCATTGCAGCAGCCATTTCAGCAGCAGCCTACTCATGAAGGGGCACAGAGCAATGTTGGGGTGTCTCCTCCAAGTGCAGCGGCTGCTTCGCAGGATCCTAAGTACCGGTAATTCATTTATTTGAAGGCCATGTGTGGGGATTCCCGCGGGGTTGCAGTTTTTGCTGCGATTGTTGCTTCTGGTTTGTTTCGTGTGATGTGTGTCGCTGTGCTTGGAATGCTCGCTTGTCTCTGACGCTGGGTAGTAGTAGCAGTAGGAGTGGTAGCAGGAGTAGGAGTGGTGGTGGTAAAGTGGTGTTTGTGGTGATGACGCAGGGCGCTCGTTGTCGATTTGCTGGGGGAGGATGCGCTTGATGAAGGAAGCAATGGTTCAGTGGATCGCTCTGCGACGGCCACGCAGGAAAATCTGCAGCAACAGATTCAGCAGCTGCAGCAGCAGCAGCTGCTGCTGCAACAGGAGCGCATGCAGCTGCAGCAGCAGCAGCTGGAAATGCAGGAGCGAGAACACGCTCTTGCCCAAGCGTCTGCAGGCTGCCGTCCGTCCTCGCTTCCTGCAGACACTGCCGCTTCCCTGGCTCCTCTATGCTCTGAGCAGCCGCAGCAGCAGCCGCAGCAGCAGCAGCTGCTGCTGCGGCTTAGAGCTGCTGCCGCAGAAGGCGCCCCCGTTTCTCGCGGGGGAGATGCTCCCGTCGCGGCGAGTCTTTTGCAGCCGTCACCAGAACTGCAGGGAGGAGAGGCAGCAGCTCCGACGGGAGCAGGCACAGGCTTGGAAAGCAGCAGGAAGCCTAGAAGCGCAAAGCAGCGGCCTCTCAAGCAGACGCTGGCGCAGCAACCGCTTCAGATCTCCCAAGACACTGCTGAGAACCATCAGCTGCCCGCAGTGTCTGCGGGGGGGAATCCACCTGTGCTTCTCGGGGAAGAGGGTGTGGCAATTCGAAGAATTGCTTCAGAAGATGCAGCAGCCACGGCAGCCTCGGCTGCAGGGGCTTTTTCAGGCTGCCCTCCCCTGGCGTCTCCGCATGCGATCGCTCCTGTCGAGCTCAAAGATCTCCCTGACGTCGCTAGTGCACACCCCTTGCCAGGGAACACCCCACCAGTCGCCACTCATCCTGCACCCCGCGGCAGCGGCGGAGGCGAGACTGAGCGATCCTTGCTGCCTCTGCCCACGCTGAGCGACTCCCCTCGACTCTGCGACATTATCGAGACGCCACCAGCAGAAGTCTTGGAAGCTATGGGGGTCAAAGACATCCTAAAGGCTTCTTCTGGGCCTGCTGCTGCTGCTGGTGCTCCTCTTCCTCTTGCTCCTGCTCCTCCTGCTGTTGTTGGTGCTTCTCTTCCTCTTGCTCCTGCTCCTCCTGCTGTTGTTGGTGCTTCTCTTCCTCTTCCTCCCCCTGCTGGTGCTTCTCTTCCTCTTCCTCCTCCTGCTGGTGCTTCTCTTCCTCTTCCTCCTCCTGCTGGTGCTTCTCTCCCTCTTCCTCTGCTTGCTCCTGCTGGTGCTGCTCTTTCACCAGCAGGGGCTTTAGGAGAAGCACTGCCGGCCTCTCTTCTTCTGTCTACTGCTCCTGCTGCCCTCTCCCCCGCGCATCATGCGCCTTGGATGGCGGGAATGCCTTCTTTATCGCTGGCTTCATCCTTAGGAGCAGAGTCTGGAAACGCAGCTGCTGCTGCATGCTCGGGGGGGCCCCCCGGTGGTAGGCCCCTGCGGGTGTCCGAACCGCGGGAGGGGCCCCTCCTCGAGGAGGGGCCCCATGCAGCAAATTCGCATTCTTTGGACGCACAGCAGCACCCACATCAGCTGCACAGCCGCGAGGGGATGCTTGCACCGAGGCTGCGTGTAGTCGTTCTCGAGTCTGCACGGCGAAGGGGTCGCCCTCCTCGCCTCCTGGTGCTGCCTTGGAAAGGCACAGGGCAGGGGCCTCTACCCGAGGGATTGGCAGTGAGACTGACGCAGTGCAGCTTGTAGCCTTCGCCGCAAGACAAGCAGTCTCAGAGGAACGTGCAGGTGGAGGAGCTGTGCCTCCGCGCGACTGTTGCCGGCTTGTTTTCTGTCTGGTGCGGTGGCTGTGCAGTGTCGACGCCGTCTCTGCTCAGTCAAGGACCCAGAAGATACCGCCTTTGCCGCGTCTGCGTCTGCTGTGCGTGGAGTGGAAGCAGAAGGGGGAGCAGCGGCAGCGTCTCCTGCGTTCGACGGGACGGTAAAGCGGGAGACGTTTGCATCGAGTTCGTCTGTGGGAGAAGAAGCCGCAGCAGCAGACGAAGAAAGAGGTGGCGGCACTGCAGCGACGAGGGCTACAGATCCAGAAACGTCTCTCCCCGCGGAGACGGGCAATGCGGAGGGTAGCAGCCGTAGCGGCAGCAGCAGGAAAGTGCGAGTCAAGCTACGTGTGCGGCTGAAGAGAAGATGCAACCGCAGAGAGCAGATGGGTGCAGAGACACGGCCAAATGGCGTCCTTGGGAGGGTGTTTTGTGTGGGAGGCACTGACAGCGACGCTGACGAGACGCTTGACGAGGAGTCGCAGGATGGCATTGGGAGAGACAGAGGCGCAGCAGCAGCGACTGCATCAGGGAGTGACCCCCTGTCAGCAGTGTGTGATGTTGGTGTTTTAGCCACGCGAGTGGAGAGGGTTGCAGCCGTAGCAGCAGCAGCAAGAGGCGCAGCGGCTGCAACCGAGATCGAAGCTGCAGCAGCGGATTGTAGTAGTGTAGTTCAGGTGCTGCAGTTAGCGTCTCGCGTGGGGTTGCTTCCCACAACGGCGGAGTGGAGGGAAGCTCGGGCGAGGTAAATCACGAGGCTGTACCGTGTGCACGTGGCGTGCAGCTCCGCGGCAGTGCCTCCTCGTAGGGAGGGGTGATATGCATATACATATATATATGTATTTATTGGTGGGGAGCTGCTCCTGCGAGATGCTTGCATCTGGTTTCTTTCTCTAGCCTGTCCTGTCCCTGTGCGATTTTTCTCGCAGCATGCAGCACTGCGGCTTTGTACAACATGAGCTTTTCCGCTGCTGCAGGGGGTGCGTAGCAGCCGCCAGTCGGAGCAGCGACGGCAGCAGCAGTGGCAGGGATGCTGGCATAGAGCTGTGGATCCAGCAGCAGACTGTACGGATACAGCCGTCCGGAGCGTTGGTGCAGCTTCTAAGGGAGGATGCATGCGATAATATGGGCTGCCCAGTGTCTGTGTCTTTGATGCGCTGCGTTCCCCTGAGCAACGTTGCCGCTACTGCTGCTGCTGCCACTGGCATTCAGCTGCTGCTGCACTTACGGCTGCAGCGAAGAGATGCTGCAACCACGGTGCTTGCGGACCAGGGGGAGTATGTCTTGCCTGCGCATACCCAGCTTGCAGCGTCATCATCTTCAGCGCTCACAAGACTCAGCACAGCAGCAGGAGGCTCACAGCATGCAGCCCCTGCGCGAAGTGTGGGGTCTCATGCGGCGCGTGCAACACCACAGCCTGCCAGTAGTGAGGCGGCAGCAAGTACAGGCAGCGTGTGTCGGTGCTGCTCGGAGTTTTTAGCGTGGAAAAAAAGCGCAGACACCCGCTTGGCAGCTCAGCACTGCGTCTTTGGCCGTGAGCGTCAGATTATCAGGTAAGCACAGGCAGACGTTGCTGCTGATACCACGGCTATTTTGTTTTTTGTAGGGCAGGTGGGTTGGTTTAGGGAAGGAGGCATTTTTGGTGCTGCTTCCAGAGCAGCCAATGATGTTGCCAAAAAATGAGGGCCTTGGGGGGTGTATGTACATACGGCGCCGAATCCTGTGATGCCACGCTGTTACTGCGGATTGATCCGTGCTAGCTCGAGACATGCCGAGCCGTCGCTGTTGCGTTCTCCTGTCTAAAATACCACAGGAGCCTTCCCAGCCGTCTCATCGAGGAGGCGCAGCAGAAGAAGAGACAGCAGGAAGGCGGAGCGGTCCCCCTGTCTGCGTCACCATGGAGGTTGGATTCTTGCAGACGCCTGTCAGATGCTTTGGGGAGTGCGCTGCTGCAGCTGACTGTGCGTGCTGCAGCAGCGGCAGAGGCTGCAGGAACCGGCTGTAACAGCCCCCCCAAAGGCACCAGGTCGTGCAATGAGGGGCAGACACACGCAACAAACAGCACTATCAGGAGGTTGTCTTCAGGATTAAGTTTCGTGGAGGTACGACACTGCGTAGTCTACATTTCTCCTTCCGCTTGCGGTGTGAGGCACATGAGGATGCAGCGTCAAGGGCGCTCGTGCCCTTGTGTAGCAGCAGTTGACTGTGTGGCTGTTGATCCACCTCTTGAAGCTCCTTGCCGCGAGTTGTGCTGTCGTCTGAGGCTTTTTCACTGCAGGAGCTAAACGTGTGGATAGCAGCAATACCTGGCGAACTCCACTTGCCGCTGCACCAACCAAAACAATTGCTGCAGCAACGGCAGCGTATGTTGCGGCTGCCAGCTGTCGATCTTTTGCTGCTTCACTCTGCGCCTTTGGGGCTTGTTGCCCTTGCGGGTGCGCGTACATGCGCAAGCAGCCCGCACTTTTGCATGCCGAGAGTTTCGGCTTTAGACACGCCTGCTGCTGATGGGGATGCTGCTGCCGTTATTTGCCCCTCCTCACACAACACGCAGCAGGAACTTGAACCGAGCCGAAGTGCGGCCTCATCAGAAACCGCTCGCAAGCGGAAAACCTCCGTCACAGAGGACAATGAAGAGCATAACTGCAGTGGCAACAACAGCAGCAGCAGCTGCTGCTGCAGCCGCTGCTGCTGTTGCTGTCGATTTTTCAGGCATCCTGCAGGGCCCACAATGGAGCCGTTGCAGGTGGCACTCTCTCTTGGGTGAGGGGTGTCCGTACGTTTCGGCGGAGTGTGCGCATAAGCCAACTGCTGGAAAGCGCAATTTTTATACTCAAAACGTCGAAAGGCTGGCCTGCAGCCGGGTATCCGCAGGTGTACTGGCGCCCCACACGCCCATCAGCATGGAGGGATAGCTGCGGTGTACGCTCACTGGGAGACTATCGTCCTCCGTTTAGTGTCGTGCGGAGCTCTTATTCTATCTACGAATTCGCTTCCCTAGAGAGAGCAGCCAGCCAGCGAGTTGCGGAGGGAACGACGGCCAGGGTCACTAGTTAAGGATTCACGAGCAGCCCCCGATTGAGGAATGGGCGGCTTTGCACGCAAATTGCATTACTGTCAGTGCAACTTTAAAGAGGCTCATTCAAGCACTAAGGACCTATTGTGTCAAGAAGCACGTATCGGGCATGACGGGGTTCGAAGACACCTTTAGAGGAGGAATATCGGTACAGAGAGCGCCACGTCTGCTCAGTGCGAAGAAACGAGCTCCGCTACAGTGAATTTCGCCGCTACTGCCTCCCGTGCGTTGGCCTCTACGACTAGCATGAGCGATTTTGAAGTACTGCCGCCTGTCGCCGGCACTAGCACACCCAGCCAGAAGTCTTCTCCCGCTATGCACATAAGAGGCCCCAGACCAAACAACATAGGCAGGCAATTGCATGGCATAGGTACATACACACAGCAATAACAACGCAATAAGTACGAAGTGTGGTGTTGAAGCGCCTACAGCCGCAGTCAGGTTGACACATTTCTGTAGAGGCCCTCCTCAGCAGCGGCTCCGGGTACAGCGAAGCGGCACATGCTGTGCGTCATTTTGTTTGAGATTTGCCTTCATGACCCCTAATTCCACTCATTAGTGTGGATTATGGTCTTTTGCAGCCGCATATACAGACGATTTTCTCCGGGCATCATTGCGGTGCGGGTTTTTCTGCAGTTGTGGAGTCTCGTAAGGGGCCCTCCTACCCGCTGCTCCTCCTCCTCGTGGGTGCCCCCTTCTGTTGCTGCCACAGATCTCCTGTTTGTCTTTGCCTCGTCTTTCCTTCCGCGACGGGCTGCAGACAGACACTGCATACCCTTCGCGCTTCGCCCTTCGCGGGGAGGCACTTGGCATCGGTGTTTCGCACACGCCTCGAGCAGCAGGGAACCCCTCATGATGAGATTCCAAGCGAGAGCGCACAACTGAAGCGTCCAGAAGCAAGAAGCACACGCTGCACTTAAGTCTCAGCAGGCACTCACACTGCCCGCCTACGCTGCTGGCAGACTCGCGGCAAAGCCGCTACACACGCGATCGTCGCTGTTGCTGCTGCGGCAGCATTGTGGGGCAGGGAGGCTCCGCAGTTTCCCGTCTTCTCCAGGCTTCCAGACGCCGCTGCCTTAGGCTCTCCGAGCTGCACACATCATGGATTCTCGCACGGAGAGGAGCTCGCATCCACAGCAGCAGCCCGCTACGCCTGCGTGTGCAAATCCTGTGGGCGACGTTTCCAGCGCTGATTCAGCTTCCCCCCGCCCGTTCTGCGCGACCACTGCAGCTGCTGAGCCTTCTCCCCAAGAACGTCTGCGCAAGGAAGCCTTGCTTAAGGACCGTCGGCAGCAGCAAGCCCTACTGACGCCTTTGTCGGGAGATCCCAGATGCCCCCTCGTGAGAGATGCTCAACAGCAGGAGCTGATCAGACAGCACACCTTCGACGACACTGTGCCGTCCAGACACCCCACTGCGGGTGCGCTGTCTATCTTCACGCGTGGCTCTTCGGATAGCCAACATCCTCGGGGAGTCTCTGGCGAGATCTGGACGGCAGTGAGCTGCCCCTTGAAAGAAAAAGTGCTCTAAAGCCTTCCGACGACGTCGAGAAGGAAGGCGCTCCTTTATGAGCAGGCAGCAGCTGGTCTTCATGTTTCTGCTGGCGCATGCGGGCCGCCTCGCTCGCTGCTCTGTCACAAGAGTTGTTCTCCATGCTTGTCTTCTTTTTGCGTAGTCTACCCACTCTCTTGAGGCCGCTCTCTGCTTCTCGCTCTTGACGTGCTTCACGAAAAAGGCTTCGAAAGCGCTTGTCACACTGCGTGCGAAACCTCAGCAGCAGCAGAGGCAGTAGTACAAGTAGCAGAAACAGCAGCACCCGTAGTAGATGAAGTGTTGTCAGCCACCCAAGAGGTTCGTGGTTCCTGTCTGTCTGTGTCTACGTGTGTGTGGCGTGCTGGCAGTCTTCCAGCAAGAGTGAAGAAGAGCTCCTCGCCGCTGGACTCATGATGATGGAGGATTTAAGCCCTGAACAGGCGGCTTCCATTACGGCGGAACTGAAAGCTGAGGCTTCGAAGCGACATCAGCAGCAGCAGGTGCAGATTAGTGGAGCTGTGCGGCTGGCTGCTCCTGCCGCGATGCATCATCCCCTTCGGACAGACGCAGAGACTGCCTCAGCTTCTGCAAGGAGCAAGACGCCGCAAGAGCACCGGCCTGCATCGCCAGTTCTCGTAGAAGTGCGCAGTGGACGCTTGCACGGGGATGCGTCAGATGAGGAGACTGCATGTGCAGCAGCAAGGCCAGGAGAGGGCAAACAATTGGGGAAAGTCGCAGAGCAAGGGCGAGACGCAAAGCTGCAGCAGCAGGAGGGCGAGCAGCAACTCGAAGGTGAATCAGATGAGCAAAAATGTGAACGTATTGAAGCCTCCATTCGGTTCAAGGCAGAGTCAGATCTCAACAAGCGGCGAGCACAGTACGTCTCGCCTTCATATATTCCCTGCAATGCTTCTCTTTCTCTCTCTCACGCCCTATTTTTCTCTCGCTCTTTCTCTCTCTCACTCACTTTATCGCTTTATCGCTCTGTGTGTGTGTGTGTGTCTCTCTCTCTGTTTCTCTCTGTCTCTCTCTCCTATCTCTCTCTGTCTCTCTCTGTCTCTCTCTCCTCTCTCTCTCTTATTCTCTCTCTCTTATTCTCTCTGTCTGTCTGTTTCCCTCTCTCTCTCTCTGTCTGTTTTTTTTTCTCCCTCTCTCTCACTCTGTGTGTATGCAGATAGTTTTCTTTCCTCCCTTCTTTCCGTTCAATGCCTGCCGCGTGTTTTTTTCTTCTTTCTTTCTGTTGCTGCCGCTCCTGCCCCTCCTTCCCCATTCACCTGTCTGCTCTGGCACTTTTGGGGTCGCTGGAGGGCAGTAGGGATGCTATCTATATAAATACACTTCAAGAATGCCATGATTTCTGCTCTACTACCTGTACTGCTGGGGATTGCTGTCCTTCAGGATGCAAGCTTTAAGGGCAGACGCAGAGCGGCAGTTGCTCTCTTTGCAGCTGCTTCCACCTCAAGTTGAGCGCCTTTCTACCCTTCCCGCTTCCTTCAGAGAAGCGGTCTTTGGAGTGTTTGTGTGCCTCTGCCTTCGACACATCGAGGAGTGAGACATCTCATGTAGTATTCTCGACGCCTTTGTCCCCATGCTTCGCTCTAGGCCGTGTGTGTGTAGAGGGTATGCCGTTTGCTCAGTGCTCCTGTGTATTTGTTCATTGAGAAACTCGTGACACTGGGGCTTTCCTCCCTTTGCCAGTGTTGGTTGAACGGTCTATGTCTGGAGTTCTCACACTACTCCCTGTTGTTTTGTTTTTCCTCACATAAGCGCCTTCCCCCTACCGTCTACTTTTCCGTCAAAAAAATTTGAACCCTCAACAGCCGAGGGGGACCGTCGGCCTGTGCTGCTAGGAGTTTCGATAGGCTACGCCTGTTTGTGATTGGATGGATAACTTGTGCGTGTTTGTGTATGTATGTAGTATCTATGTTTGTGTGGATGGATGTGTATATGTTCTATGGATGGATGTGTATATGTTGAATAGGTGGATGTGTATATGTTGTATGTACGAATGTGTATATGTTGTATGTACACATGTGTATATGTTGTATGTATGAATGTGTATATGTTCCATGGATGGATGCGTATATGTTCCATGGATGGATGTGTTCATATTCTAAGGACGGAGGTGTGTGTTTATGATGTACGAATGTGTATATGTTCAATAGATGGATGTGTATATGTTCAATAGATGGATGTGTATATGTTGTATGAATGGATGTGTATATATTGTATGGATGGATGTGTATATGTTGTATGTACGAATGTGTATATGTTCTATGGATTTTTGTGTGTATGTTGTGTGGATGGATGTGTACATGTTTTATGCACTAATGTGTATAAGTTGTATGCACTGATGTGTATATGTTGTTTGTACGAATGTGTATATGTTCCATGGATGGATGTGTATATGTTGTATGTATGAATGTGTATATGTTCTATGGATGGATATGTATTTGTTTTATGGATGGATACTTATATGTTCACTGGATGGATATGTATATGTTGTATGTACGAATGTGTATATGTTGCATGGACGAATGTGTTTGTGTCCCATGGATGGATGCGTGTATGTTCCATGGATGAATGTGTATATGTTACATGAATGGATGTGTATACATTACATGAATGGATGTGTATATACGAAGGTGTTTATATTTCGTATATGAATAGATGGAGTTTTCGACCTATGTATACATTGCTCTTATGCCCCTTTTTTTGTAGGTGTGATGAGGAGTTCAGAGGGGAAATCACGGAATGGGTATTAGGCCTGTTGGATGCTTTGGGGTCTCCCCAGTTGTTGCATCTGGGAGCGCACATTGCGAATTGCCTTCGCAAGCCGATTGCATGGAGGGAGCAGCTTGAAAAGGATGGCGTTCGGGTGAGTTGCCGTGATGCTGAAAGATTTCTTTCTTTTCTGAAGTTTTTATCTCGCCAGCTTTCCTGCCACGCATTTGTGCGTGCTTGTGCTGCGGCTCTTCTTGCGCGAGCGACGCTGCGTATAACGGCGATTGACGTCCCCTGCTCCTTTTGTTTTTCTTTTTATTTGCTTTCCTGTCGCTGTGGACTTGTTTCCTGCTGCTCCTCGTCGTCTTTCGCATGGCAAGCATGCGGCCTCGTTTGCGGAGCTGCTGCACGAACGAAAGGCTTTGAGGCAATGCAAGCGCATGCCTCAACGCGTCGCAGCAGGAGGAGGAGCAGCAGCGGGTATAAGGGAGCTGCGGCGTGGATTTGTTCAGTTTGCGCGTTTCCGATGCTGCTGCTGCCGCTGCGCCTCCTGTACCTGCGCGGTGTCTGTGCAGGCCAGCGATATCGTCACGCTTGACCCCCTTATCGACAAGATGACTGCCTTTTTCGCAGAGAAGCAGGAGGAAACAGACACGCTTTTTCGCAGCGTTCAGAGCCGCCTCACCGCCAATGGAGCCTCGCGATCTCCCTCAGAGGAACAGGATCGCGATGCACTCCCGTCTTCTCCCCGTAGCGTAGGCAGCAGCGGGAGTAGAGACTTTTCTCGCTGGACGGGATCGGCTGCCGCAGCTTCCACGAAGCACTCACCCTCTCCGCCTGAAGAAGATTTCCACCAGCGCCGTCTCCCACAGCGGAGGGAGCAAGCATCTTTCCAGCACAACAGGAGCAACCGTCCACTAGTCTTCGCAGAATCCGCATGGCCTCCTGTGGGAAAGACTTGCGCGGAGCAGGAGGGCAGTCATCATTTCGCTGGGGGAGTGGCGGCTCCACAAAGCGGCAGCAGCTGCGGGAGTCGCTACACGTCGCCCTCCACGTCTGCAGCAGCAGAAGCAGCAGCAGAAGCAGCTGCTGAAGATGTCTGCAGCTGTACGCAGTCGGAGGAAACGCGAGAAGGTACAGCTCCTCAGGGAGGCGAGGCAGTGGAGCTTGAGGCAGCTGGCAAGTGCCTTCCCGAGAGGACTGCAGTCGAGCGCTTTTCCGAGAGAGTTCAGCAGCAGCAGGAGGAGGAGCGGCAGCAGCAGCAGCGAGGGCAACGCCGTAAGCTGCCGAGTCGGCCCCTTGGAGGCGCATGCAGCAGCGAAGACAGTGAGAATGAAGGATTTTACGGCTCTGATGCAGAGAGCGCAGAAGGGCAACTGCGACAAAGCAGCCGTTCTCCACGCGGGGGGGGGGGCAAAAAAGGCAATGAGCAGCAGCAGGAGCAGCAGCAGGAGGTGGATGCTGTCAGTCTGCAGCGACATCATCTGCTGCATCCCCAAGGGGAAGACGTCGACGTGGATTTTTCTGTAACAGAAGACAGAGAATTCGCGGGGATATCCCCGACCAGTCCCCCCCTCTCCATGTGGACTGCAGAACCGCCTTCTTATCGAGTCGTGTTTCTCCGAGATCTTACAACTGCCCTCGTCACCAGCGGCACTTTTGATGCGAGGATACAGATGCTTTTGGACAGGTTCGCTCCCGCTGCTTCCCTCTGACTGCTCCAGCATTCACTGCTAAAATGCTGCTGCCAGGCTTGGATTTAAATCCTCAACAGGCGACGAAGAGGCCTCTTTTGCCATTGCCTCCTCGTGCGATAGGGGCGGCCACATGGGATGCTGCTGCGCTGCTTGTGGAGGAGGGAGTTGGTGGCTGCTGTCTGTGCATGCGAGCTGCCTCACGTCGAGCTTTGAAGGGGATTGGTGTGTCTGTGTGTCTGTCTCTCTGTCTGTGTGTATGTCTCTCTGTCTGTGTGTATGTCTTTCTGTCGCACTGTCTGTCTGTCTCTCTGTCTGCGTGTATGCCATGTCTGTGTGTATGTCATGTCATGTCTGTCTGTCTCTCTGTGTGTATGTCATGTCATGTCTGTCTGTCTCTCTGTTTGTCTGTCTCTTTGTCTGTGTGTATGTATGTCATCTCTGGTGTGGGGTGCTGCCTTCGGCTTTGCTCTCGGGAGCGAGATCTGCTTCTCCTTCCCGATTGTCTCTCTGTCTGCATTGCACGTGACATGGCCTCTGTGTGCTGGATTGCTACGCGGTGCAGACTGGCAGTCGAACTGCGCATAAATCCTCTTCTGCTGATTCGGATTCAAGAGAACCTTGCTGCAGACCTTCTCTCCATTCTGCAAGTCAGTGCGACACGCAGCGCTGCTGACATGGCTAGCTAGCTAGCTAGCTAGCTAGCTAGCCATGTCAGGAGCACACACAGACTGGCGGCAGCACTGGCGCAAGTCCCTGTCTGTCTGTGTGTCTGTCTGTATGTCTGTCTGAGTGCGGTGTATACGTCTCCTAAAGGCAAATACGAAGGAGGGGTCCAAGCAGAAGACGTGGAGGCGTCTGAAAATAGCGGGTACGACGTCTGAGTCTCCAACATCTGCCACCCCCGGGGTCTGGCGTGCGAGGGGAATTTAGGGGGCAGAGGGAAGGAAAGCCGTCGCCAACGTATTTCTTGAAAGCGAATTCTTCGCAGCTGATTGCCGTTCTGTCCTGTTGTCTGCTGCGCTGCTCTTGCAGGAGCTGCTGTCGGAGGGGGTGTGTTGCTGGCATTAACTGCGGGATTAGCAGCTCCAGGAATTGCAGCGGCAGTGGCATCCCTCGGTTCGCTTCCTCTCTCTGCCTTTCTAGCTTCTGCAGGAGGCATGGCTGCCCTTGTTTCCATTTTTGGAGCAGGAGGAGCTGGTAAGCACTGCTTTTTTGTCTGTGTGCATGCATGCGTGGAGTAGCAGCAGCAGCTACTGCTGCTAGTGCTGCTGCTAATGCTCATGCTGCTAATGTTAGTGCTGCTAGTGCTTTCTTTTTTGTGTCGGTCTGCCTTTTTTGAGGAAAAAGCTTCTGTGGGTGCTGGTCACTTCTTGATAGAGAGCAGCAACGGGGGGATTTTTTTTTTCGCGTGTCTACATAGATGTGTGTTGTGGTTCTTTCTGGAAGCCGTGAAAAGAGGCTTGCTGGCAACTGTTAGTAGAGCTTGCGAGGGGGCTTTGATGCGCGGCTCACCTGCGGCTCGTGCAATTCCACTGTGGCGCAGGCTTGACTGGCTGGAAGTACAGCCGACGCATCGCCACTGTGAAGGTGTTTGAATTTCTGATGCTCAATGGACGCAGCCCCTCTTCACTTCGAGTCGGGATTGGTATTAGCGGCTATCTCCGAGACGACGACGATGTCACTTTACCATGGGTTGGTTCTCACACTTAGACGCTAGTTGGTTTGTTGCTTGCAGCTGCGGGGAACTCTTCGCTCTTTCGTTCTGGGGTGCCCTCGAGAGTGCTGCCGAGATTTGTCTCCTTCGAGGGATTTTCCTTCAAGGAATCACGGGAGGGGAGGGGGAGGAACACTAACAGAGGCACATATATACACATATAGAAATATATATATACATATAGAAATATATATATACATATAGAAATATATATATACATATAGAAATATATATATACATATAGAAATATATATATACATATAGAAATATATATATACATATAGAAATATATACATACATATAGAAATATATATTCCTATATACACAGAGTGGTCCCACTTCCCCCGCTGTCTTCTCGACAGCGAAGTAAAGAGAGCCTCCTCATCGGTTCCTTCATGCAATTCGCGCTGGTGGCTGCAGCGTCGCTCTCTCTCTGTGTCTCTCTCTGTGTCTCGTCTCTTTCCCTCTCTAGGTTTGCTCCTTCCCAAGCCCCCGTTGCGACTTGCATGCGCTGAAGTGGGAACCACAAGTGCTGAAGGCCTTAGGGGGGATGGTCGTTAAGATGGTGTCTCAGGCGAGGAAGCACTTCGCACAAAGCAGCCTCGTTTTCTACATCTCTTTCTCTGTCTCATTCTCTCTTTCTTCCTCTCTCGACGCTGTTGAGGATGGTCTGCTCGAGGGGATTCGCCCTTCGAGGCACGGCTGCCGAATAGAGGCCTCCTTTCGAGGCGCATGCGAAGCATTCGCCGCCTCCAGAGGCTCTGCAGGGCTTCCAGAGACCGCTTTGAGCTGCTGCTTGCTTGGTCTGCTCGTGCGTTCGTGCGTGCGTTCTCCCTCCCCTCCTCCTCAGGATTTCGCAGTCAGCGCCTCCAAGTTTTATCTGCAGCACACCGTCTTGGGAGGCCTCACGTTTGCTCTGTTCTGGCCGATCGCGTTGATGCAGTACGCAGCAGGGCTGGATAACACCTGGATGCTCTGCAGGGAACGCGCGCAGCAGGCTGGCAATATCCTTGCAGACGCCGTTTCAGACAAGGCCGTAAGTCGGAGGCGCTGCGTTCAGTGCTTCTCGCTGGCTAGCTGCTGCGGTTCGGGGGGAAGAAAGGGGGAACGCTGCTGCTCCCTGAAGCCACCCTCGAGAGAGGTCGAGGTCGGATGCTGCTGCTGTAGTTGCTGCTGCTGTAGTTGCTGCTGCTGTAGTTGCTGCTGCTGTAGTTGCTGCTGCTCTAGTTGCACTTTCAGTGCATCTGGTGTAGTTGCGTTTTCAGTGCTACTGCTGTAGTTGCTGCTGTAGTTGCGTTTTCAGTGCTGCTGCTGTAGTTGCTGCTGTAGTTGCTGCTGTAGTTGCGTTTTCAGTGCTGCTGCTGTAGTTGCGTTTTCAGTGCTGCTGCTGTAGTTGCTGCTATAGTTGCGTTTTCAGTGCTACTGCTGTAGTTGCGTTTTCAGTGCTGCTGCTGTAGTTGCGTTTTCAGTGCTGCTGCTGTAGTTGCGTTTTCAGTGCTGCTGCTGTAGTTGCTGCTATAGTTGCGTTTTCAGTGCTACTGCTGTAGTTGCGTTTTCAGTGCTGCTGCTGTAG